ATTTCTGCTAAGACTGAGTTTTTCATGGAAGCTCTTAATAAGCAATAAAGCACTAGATGAATGAGAAAATTAATGAAGTTTTCCATAAGCAACTAGAAAAACCTCAAAAGTGAACACCAAACAATATTTTACAATAATCTAACTACTTGCATGCTAGCTTTGTCTAATCACAACAGGTGAATTCACTTTTAGAAAACAAGATGGATGGCAGTTCAAAGCACCAAAACTGGACCTTACTGTTACTTAATGCCCAGGCTCCTATCAGCACATCAGGTGATGCAAATCATCTACAGCTTCCACCTCCAAATAGAGATGTTAAGTTTCTAAAGAGCCATAGAATGATGTAAAAATCTATACTGGAAGTCAGGCTTGCCTTTCGAAAGTTTTGTTTGCACTGCGCTTATACTTTTAAATGAAGAAAGAAAAGGTGGTGGAGGTCAGATATTCCTCCTCCTCAACTCACTCATTTTTAATGTCCTCAAACAGCTCTTTAAAAAAGGAGATATTTTCTTTATAATTGGCTCATCAAAAGCCCAGTACTTGTTGTCCAGATCATTCATTCTTTGAACTCGTGCTTCAGGGAGATTTTTGATAGGCACTTTATCTAAGACACTCTGAAATATCCTTAACCATTTCAAGTGGAAACAGTGTGTGCCACACTGAGTCAAATTTTGTATTCAAAGTCAGAAACATGTGACAGGTGTTGCGCCCAGCTCAGAACGATGATAAGGCTGACAGCATGGAGGATTCACCATAGACAGTGGATTTGTCATGGCCTTTGTTACTGCTTTGAGGCTTTATTGGAAACATGCCCAATGACAGGAGATCCTGAGGTTATTCATGACCCACAGCCTCCAAAAGGGATCCTGTCACTGAAACAATACAGCTAAATAGAGTCAGAAAATAAATAAATTTTAAAAAGGGAAAAAAAATCTAATTTTTTTTTACAGAGCTACTTCATTATGCGTTGCCCACCAGTCCATCCTCCCTTAACAGCAGTCAGCTCTAAAGACCAAAAAAATAGAACCATGTGACAGATACTGCAATGAACTCAGGTAAACCAGTTTTGTGCCTCTCTGTCTCTTGGAATAGACTTAACACTGAATGATAGGAAACATTCAGGTATGGGTGAAGGGAAAAATAAGAATATTGATGCCTGCAAAAAGAGACTTGGAAGTGGCAGAGACATTATAAACAGGATTTTAATATGATGTGAATTACAAGCACTTGATACAGAGGGGATGATATATTGATTTTCCTCATTCTGAACTATGCCTGTCACTAAGATCAATGGAAGTCACAAACCTATATCAAGGAAATTATAATATGTGGAATTATTTATAGAATGGCTGCTCCAGGTACACATCAATTGCAGCATCATAATGGCCAGACTTATGACTGAGGACAAAGCCATCTATTACATATTGTAAATGATAAAGTGTGCATTGCCATCATTGCTTCATTTTCCACATTTTTCATAAGTGAAAGGAAGAACTAATAGAAGCATTCTTGTACAGCCTTTTTTTATAAAGAAGCAACAAACATTGTAGAGTTTATCACTAAACAACAACAATTCCACTTACAAACTAAGTCATTAAAAGAACAGCTACAGGCAGTATTTTCCAAAACAGAGTTATGCAATGTACACCAAGGCAAATACGCTGAAACTTTGGGAATCACTTCTGGATTGCTCAAAATTCTGGGCACCCTGAAGAAGCTGAAAAGCAGCAGCACACAGGAGGGCAGCATCTCCAAGCTGCTGGTGGCAAGGAAGCATGAACCTGTAAACGCATGCTTCCCTTTTCCACTGCAAAAGCTCTGTCACCACTGGCAGACAAAGAAAAAGTCTAATGGCTACACAGGCAGGCACCTTTATAATTTTCATATCTCAAAATTATGGCATTTCCAATAAAGTCTGCTTTTGAATCACCATTTACTTCTACAGTTCACTTAGTTTCACAGCAGTCTCTACCTCCCACTGTTAACTCTTAAAAGAAGCCTTTCAAAGGTCAACCCAAACTGTTAGGATTCTAGATGGTAAAACTGAATTTTTCATGTCTACTTGTTCTGAAAGGCTTAAAAGCAATTTGTGGCAATCAGCACAAAGGGATTTGATTGACAAACTTTAACAAAGTGATCTAGAGAAGATTCATTGGGAAAAAAACTGCTAAAATTGCAAATTAAATGGCAAATAGTTTTTCTCTGTCTGCCCTTGAAGGAAAATAGGTTCTCTTCTTAGATGTGAAAATTTTGAATTCGGGAGGGAAAAAGAGGAATTTGGCTGGGTTTTTTTTGTATTTTATTTTTAAACCTCTAGTATTGTGTTAGACTGATAGCAACCGGCATAGTTAGAAGATTTATTTCTTTACTATCCTGATGGTGCAAATTATTTTGTATGCTACTGCCACTACTGCAAAGCCTTTGCTTTAGTCCTCAGACAATCCTATCACCCAAGTCAAAGTAACTCATTTTTCACCTACTTTAATTCAGTTCTGAAATTCATATACAGGGCAAGAGCAGGATAAAGCTTTTGTCTGTTTGAAACTACAGCATAAATGATAGATTTTACATTTTTGTAATGGTGCTTCAACCTCATATACCCATTTGCTTGTTTAATTTTTAAGTATTATTCTGATTTTTTTACCTTTACAACATTCTTCCGTGACTTCAAATAACTGTTGCCTGCAAATATAACTAATGTGTTAATCTTCTCAACTTTCAAATCACTCACATGACATAAACCCACTCAAAACCATTTATATTTTGATCTACAAAAACCAACTAGATTTTTTTACTAACAAGTTCAGGTTTTTTAAAATTATATTTATGTCTGTGAAAATTTTCCAATCTCCTACTCTACTCAAAGCTATTCTAACATTATGGTGATTTTATGTAATTAAATTATTTTCCTGTCTGGTAACTTACTGTAGCTTACATACTTTTGTATTTATTGGAGACATACCAGAAGAAAAAAAAAAACATTTGAAATGCCAACAAACAAAATTTAACACAGAAAACTCAGAATTCATTAATGATAAAATATGTAGTTATGAAAGACTGCACAAAACTCATTCACTCACTGAATCACTACAGAGACTGAGGGATTTATGCAAGGTGCAATACATCCAAAACAATACAGCTCAGTTCAACACACCACATCTCACTGCATTAGTAGCACTTGTAAACTAAACCTACAGCTAAGCCATCTCAGCTCATTTACTCTTTATAAAATTACCTTTTCTCTTCAGAGCAGCTATCTTTGTCAAAGGACAAAGGGTTTATGTGGGCAAACCTACAGTATTAATCTACACATTAAGCACCTATTCTGGCAATAATAAATATGAAGGTCCAGAATTACCCATTACAGACCATAAACATGCTTGTTTACTTATTAGGATCTTTATAAAGCCACCATACAAACAATTTGTGTTTAAGAAAAGTCTAAGATATGATTCAGTTACTTCTTTGCAGGCTGACCAAAATATTTTCTATTAGTTTTGCAGTGACCTTTGTTATATGCTATTCTAGTGTCGGGGATACACATTTTAAAACTCCTCTTGACAATGTGATTAGAACTGTTATTATAGGATTAAAACTATATGATTAAGCTCATTAAAACCAATGATGAAAGTTTCTTTAGATAATCTAGCATGTGGATTAATTTTATGATTGAAATTTGTTTGCTCAAGAAGGTTTTTTTATTCATCAAAGACCCAGGTAATGAAAAATCTTTACATCTTTTAATTACACATTCCTGATAATATCAGCCTCAATTTCTGCATAGTTGCAATTTAGAATAAAACATGTTTTAATTCACTTCTTCTAAAGCGCAGTAAAGATTTCATCAGGTATTAGTGGCAAACACCACCAGTCCAAACCTACTTGGATGTTTCTTTTCAATAACATGACTAGTAAGAATTGCCATGTGTAACAAATTTTTCTTTTGCTTTCTGAGTGTTTGTGTAGATGTCGAACAAATGATTTAATGACTGCGCAAATGGTTTTTAAAATACCCTCAAAATTGAAAGATAACTTTTTTTAAAGGCAACTGCTGCTCAGACTACTGCTCATATTCTACAGTCGGTGAGCTGACCCTTGCAAGATTTCACATATCTGTCTCACAAACTGTTAATGACAGATAAAACACACCGCTGCAAAGAGCCTGCCCTGAGGTGACCCAGCAGCAGTCAGGCTGCTGCTCAGGCAGGCCTGGGCTCTGCTGGGCACTCAGAACCAGCCTCAGACCCTGTGCAGGCAGGCCTGGGCTCTGCTGGGCACTCAGAACCAGCCTCAGACCCTGTGCAGGCAGGCCTGGGCTCTGCTGGGCACTCAGAACCAGCCTCAGACCCTGTGCAGGCAGGCCTGGGCTCTGCTGGGCACTCAGAACCAGCCTGGGCTCTGCTGGGCACTCAGAACCAGCCTCAGACCCTGTGCAGGCAGGCCTGGGCTCTGCTGGGCACTCAGAACCAGCCTCAGACCCTGTGCAGGCAGGCCTGGGCTCTGCTGGGCACTCAGAACCAGCCTCAGACCCTGTGCAGGCAGGCCTGGGCTCTGCTGGGCACTCAGAACCAGCCTCAGACCCTGTGCAGGCAGGCCTGGGCTCTGCTGGGCACTCAGAACCAGCCTCAGACCCTGTGTGCCCATGGCCCTGGGCACTCAGAACCAGCCTGGGCTCTGCTGGGCACTAAGCACCAGCCTGGGCTTTGCTGGGCACTCAGAACCAGCCTCAGACCCTGTGCAGGCAGGCCTGGGCTCTGCTGGGCACTCAGAACCAGCCTCAGACCCTGTGTGCCCGTGGCCCTGGGCTCTGCTGGGCCCTCAGAACCAGCCTGGGCTCTGCTGGGCACTCAGAACCAGCCTGGGCTCTTCTGGGCCCTCAGAACCAGCCTCAGACCCTGTGTGCCCATGGCCCTGGGCTCTGCTGGGCCCTCAGAACCAGCCTCAGGCTCTGTTCGCTGGCAGCCCTGGCCTGGTTCAGAGTTCCATGGAGCCCCACCTACCTCCTCATGCAATCCAGCGCCCGGATGAAGAAGTCTTTGTGCAGCTGGTGCTCGTCCCTCAGGATGGAGCACTGCTCCAGCGTCACTGACATGGATGTCCTGTCTTTGGCACTCTTGCAGCAGGTGAAGCGCACCCCGTTCAGCTTGCGGCAAATCTGAAACACGGGCAGGCCCCACAGGTCAGCCCTTCCTTCCTACCAGGCTGCGCAGCCCTACAGCTCTGCAAGCCCAGCGAGGGCTTCCAGACAGCTACAGCACTTCTCAAGAAGAAAACACCTTCTGGAAGTTAGTACCAGTACACTGAATTCCTGAATTTGACATGGGACTTTCATAACTATAAAAGAAACAGTTCCTTCACCGTTTCCTCACTGAATGTAGCAGCTGCCCTGTTCAACGAAAGCTAAATTGTCTGAATACCTGATGAATGAAGATATGGTGAGTCTTAACTCACAAACATGAATGTAGCAGACTAACTTCTTGTGAAGGTATGGAGTCAGACACATCTAACTTACATAGTTTTTATTTTCAACAGGTGAACTGTTCAATGTATGGCTCACAATTAATAAAGTTTAACAAATTGCTGCCATGGATTGTCTACTTTCACTTATACTTTGAAAAAGTTATAACACATAAAGGAAACATGACATTTTGGAGGATGATTCCTCCTCTTAGGAATCAATCTGTGGTTGTATCATTCCACTAGTTTATACTATGGTTTCAAATGATATTTTACTAGAAAAAGAAAAATTGAAGGAGAGCTTCTGTGCCCAAATCTACCATTTCCCAGATATAACCTGTCCTGAGAAAAGGTAATACTTTGCTTACACCTATCCCTGGGGAATCACAGGTGTAATGGTACGAAACCTCAAAATGTTTGTGAGAATGCAGCAAGGCAATAAACTACAGCAGGAATCACAAAAAGAAACTTCCCGCATTGGCTATCATGGGAGAGCTCGCAGGATGAACTGGAACATGAACTGAAACATGACCAGTGTCAGTCCAGCAAATAAGTGTTTCTTCACCTAATGCTAATTGCATTCTTAGAAATTCTATTAAACAATAAATACTATTAAATTCTATAAAAATCAAAAAATACTTAGAGCCTTTAAGTTCTTTGTGATACCATGGTGAGGACAATCTCAAAAGTTTAATTTAGGGAACCAATTAAGGGAATCTTACTTAGAATCCAAAGAGGTACAGGATAGTGAAGGAGAACCTATGAGTGTTTCTTCCATCATATAATTGAAAATTTTAAAAGTTAAATCTGTTTAAAAATTTGAACAGTTGCACTGGGATTTAAAACAAGTACTATATGATAATCTTCTTAAATAATTATGTGAAAGAACTGTTTCATTGAAGAGATTAATTCTCTTTGCACTAGTATCTTTGGAAGCCCCCGATTCATTGGGGCTATTCAATGTGAATGAGTCCTAAAAAAATTTTAAAATATTAAAAAATCATTTATAAAATAAAGTAAAAAAATCCCAGGTAATTATTCTGGATGAGTGATGGGCTCATATGTGGAATCTTGTACTTCCACTGCAATAAAAAAGTGATATTGCACAGCTACTGCACTGACAAAGTTTTCTTCTTACATCTTTTTCAATAAATAAATGGAATATAGAATAACAGTGTGTAGATCACTAGGACCAGAAATACACATTTCAGAAAGTTAAAGTAAGGGAACCAAGCAATCATGTCCCACATCATACCTCAAGGACACTAAAAATTATTTTGAGTAATTTTATATTATCAAAGAATGGATATCAAACAAATCACTCAAATTCTAGCAGGTTCTACCAGTTTAAAAAATGAGAAAAAGAAATTGTCTGCAAAAAACTATTACAGCACATCTGCCTCCTTTAACCAGTGAGTTTTCCAGTCATTTCCTTAAAATCCATTGCAGTTACAAAGTCAGCAAGCTTATGAAAATGAGTTTATGGTTAGTTCATCAATTTCTTTGAAACAAGAGAGCTCACCGTTGCAGCCAGCCACATGATTTCTACATTCTTTCTCTTTTTGGCCTGGATATTTTGATGAAGACTTTCTAGCAATCCCTTTAAATCATTTTGTTCTTGAAAATGTGGTAAACCTGGGAAAAAAGGACGAAAAAAGTTGCTCATTTTGATAAGGTTGGTGATATGATTGTCCCGACTAAAGAATGCTCATGGTAAAGAACAGGTCTATTATTTACAGCCTTGTTTTGGAACACAGGATAGAAATTACCAGCTAAATATTTAAGGAATAAGCAAACCTTATGTCTTTTGAGTATTGCCTTGTCCTCCCTAAGATCTTCACGTGGAAATTTGAAGTATCTTCAACCTTTATCTTATAAATGGATGGTGAAAAACAAAATCAAATCTCTGCTGTAGTTCTGTTCATCAGCTATTACAGACATTCAAAAGAAATCAGAAAAATAAAAAAAAAACCTGAGTGTATTACAACCTGCTTTGATGGGATGATTATTTTTTAAAATTAAAGTAAAAAATTAGGGTTTTGTTTTCAAATTGAAACATCTAGTTTTTGTTTTAAAATATGCCTTAGATTTTTCTATAATGTAAGATAAGGGTTAAACAGCACTTAGTATCCCCTCTAAAAAGTAACAAAGTATATTTCTCCTGAAATTAAGTGGGGCTTTATTTTGAAGTAGAAAATAATTTCAAGTTTGCTAAAAATCCAAAAATTTACCTGCTTGTTCTGGGTATGGCATTTAAGTTGAAGTTTAATTTATCCCACATCTCCAGCAAAAATTCAAGAGTAGGCAATTTAATTTCCCCCTCTGTTTCATATGTATATAGAGGAGGGATTTTTCTAATGTTGCATTTATCCTTGCTAGTTCTGAAAATCAATAAAAACATGCAGAATCTGTTTTTTGAAATTATTTCTTCTCATGGTGGCAAAGTAAAAAGAATTTAAATCATAGTTATCACCAAATAAAGGGGCCAGAATCAAGTGGAACAAAGTGAAACTAAATTGATCAATGGATTTCTTCAAGCAGAGAAAGTAAATTATCCATCCAGTGAGGGGAAAAAACCCCACAACCCAAGCCCCAAACCCAAGCCCAAAAACTTATACTCAATTGGAAGAATAAAAATGAGGGAAGTATTAATGAAGGTCAATATCCATTCTCCTAACGTGATCCAAGTTGGAATGATCCCTCTCATCAACAGGCTTTTACCTTTTACATCTAATAAATTCTGTAGTTTCCCTTATCCATGATTCATAGTAAGAAGTACTTTAAATCTATTCAAAAAGAACTAAGTTGCTCCAGTCATACTGTGCTGTCTAAAAAAACTCACAAACAAACAAGAAAAAAAGAAAAAGGGAGGAAAACGTACATCCAGAATCTGTTTTGCAATAATTTTAATGTGGATTGTTTTACCTCTGTATCACAAGCTCTGATTGTACATTAGATAATGTAGAGCACATAAAAACACATCACACTCTGCTAGACTATTACACTTATGGGTGCATCTGTTTCTTTAAAACAGAGAGCACAAAATGGCAAAGATGCTTTGAGATGATGCAAATGTATCACTAAACATTCTATTGCTCCCAGTAGCTTTCCTTTGGGTCACAGCAGAAAACGTGACATCTCAGAGGGATGACTTCAGCACAGGTACAGCAAGAGTCTCCTAATTCACAGTACTGCCAAAGGGGTTGCACCTTGACTGGAAATGATCAATGGCCTAAACTCCTTGGGTCCCCCACAGTACCAAACCACCAAATCAGGCTAATAAGGGGGAGAAGCCTGGAAATACCAAACAGCCTTGTTGTTTTCAGGTACTTATGTACTACTAAACAACTATCTTACGTTTTTGGACCCTTACTGTCTTAGTATTTCTATAAAAGCAGTACCATTTTGAGCTATATTTGGTCAGCATTTTTGGTAGGAGCCTTGCTGGAAACATGCTCTTATTTTCAGTTTCTGCTAAAAGAATTTAAGAGGTTAACAAATGGGTAAATGACAAAGTGTATGTTCATCTTCAAGACAGAAAGTCAGTGGATGCTTAGTTACAAGCAAGACTATTATTGCCAAGGAGAAATACAGACACAAGAGGAAAACTAACAGCGAAGGTGGCAATACCTTTCAGGGAGTGGGAAATTGAATTCTTTGAAAGGGAATATAGGAATGAGGCAGCAGGCCAGGGAGGCTGCCAAGGGTGGATCCAACAGCCTGGCAAATAGGGCTGCAAATGCTCAAATTCTGTTGGGCTTTTTGAGCACTGTTTGGAACTGACAGCTTTGGGAACACAGTCCTGCATTTACTTTGTAGCACAGATTTGGCATTATAGGAAATTATCTGGATAGGTGGGACAAAACCATCAAAAAGCCATCAATATTGAATGCCTCTCATGTGGCCCCAGCACCAGGGTTGCTGCCAGCCTTGTATGGAGGTTTGTCTTCCAGAGGCAGGGGAACAGGAGTGGGATCAAGTCCTGCCACAAATGAACAAGTTTGAGAACTTCCCTTTTTTTCCCAGGGGGCTGGTTTAAAAGGCACATTTCTCCAAGGCAAAAGACTGACTCTGTATACTGGCAGGGAGCTACTGGGAAGGGCAGTGGAACCAAAAGGTGCTTTATGTTCCACAAAAAATTGTATAAAGAAGAGACTGAGTTCTTAAAGGTAAAGAAAAAAAGCAAGAAAGTTATAATAACCAGAAAATACACGATGAACTAGACACAATTAGTTCTCAAAAGCCTTCACAGTCTGAAAGAAGTCCAGGAACTGTGTGGCTCACTAATAATCCTTCAGGAAGGCAGTACAAGTTTAAATTGTGTTAATGAAAAGTAGCCAATACTGTCTGCATGCAAATTTTTGCTTTTATAAAATAAAATCCATTTATGAGGTAGCAGATCTACCTTAGTCCTAACCTGCATGAGGTTAGTTTTTCGAGGATGTTTTCTTAGCAAGATTCCCCTCAATTAATCACCCAACTTATTGTATGAGTTTCTCTGTAGACATCCTGGAAATAAATACTAGGTCTGTGGGGGAATGGATGGGCATCCTGCCCATCATTTAGGAAGGGCTTTTGTTTCTGTCAAAATGATTAACAAATTAAAATCATCCTGATATAAGAGATAAACACGTATACATACGCATGTGAGGTATCAAAGTTTTACATAGCATTTAGACATCAGGCAGTTAAATCTCCCACATTTGGGACTATAATTTGGGCATTAAAACTAACAGGATTCGATTGATGCAGATGTTTTCTTCAGTCCTTGCTTCTGGCAATCAGAGGAACAGCATAGTAATGCTTATGTTTATAATACAGAAGTTCTATAGAAGTGGAATACAGGGCCTATTCCAATGAAACCTTGTCGTTCATATAATGATGATGTGGCTCATTGCTTGTATTTGATCTGCAGATTTCTCCATGGTTCACCAAACCTCAACATATTTTCAGAATAAGAACAGAGAGTATGACTGAAGCTGATGAAATTTCCCACCAAGTATTTATGTAAAAATACAGTAGGAACAGACTGTCCTCTACATGAAATATTAACAAACTTATTATTTTAATAACTTAAAATAGCTGTTCAGTTCATCATTCCTCTGTTTCATTTTCTCTGTAGTTTCTGCTGTGGCACAAGGCCTGAAATCACTCCTGAGACCAGCAGGGTCATGTACAGGTACAAAATGTTTAAATTTATGGAACAAGTTATGGGATTCTGCTAATATTACTGTCTTATAACCTTCTACCTACTCAAAGCTTTTCAAACCAATTTGGACATTGCATTATTTTGTACTCACAATCAGGAGGCATTTTTTCTGTAAATAACTTGTAATATTCTTTGAGAAGTTCTAAGTTTTCCTGGTTAATGTTTTCCTGCAAAGTGGTATCTCCAAACCTATGAAAATACACAATAAATTATGAAAAAAACCCAAAACCCACAAACAACAATAACAACAAAAGATAAATTATCCTTCATAGTTATTTCTTTGCATAAAGAAATAACTTTGGTGCTAAATGCATTAGATTTTGTCAAACATGCAGTAGTTAAGTTCTTGTATGCTTTGGAATTAATTTTTGGAAACGAGATCATCGCTGATGCATACTTCTTCCAAAAGTTTATTAACAAAGCAATCTATTTACAAACATGCAATAAGGCACTTATTCTTTTCCCCTCACAAATCTTGAATAAATGGAAAGGCACTTTGGGGGAATTCCAATTCCAAAATTGGGTACCACAGGCAGAGAACACCAACTCTCCATCTCTTAGTGCTGCTACTGCTTAAGCATATCAATTTCTGTAAGAGCTGGATAATATGGAAGTGACACAAGATGGAAGAGAAGCTTATCTACAAAATAACTGTAGCTATAAAAACAAATATCTTTCTCTCTGAGACCAAGATTTCTACAACAGCCACATTTCACATGCCAAGAAACTAAATCTCACGGTACTACAGGAGGTATGATTGTAAAGACACGAATGTCCCCATGACAGTTAGGGCCAAAGTTTTGAAATTCATCTTCAGAATAGATTTGAAACGGGAATGGAGGAGTACAGGAAGAGAGGCATGGGCAGATAAGTGAGAAACTCAGAGAGAAGGGGACACAGATCAGAAGATACCAAATATGCTGCTAAATTGGGAACAAGGGAAGCAAATATTTCAACAGGCCACAGGGAGAAGATGTAACTACTTCCTTAGTAGCCATTGCTGCACTGTCACATGAGAACATTTCTTTTAAATCGGAAACATTCTCAAGTGTATTCTATCAAAAAACAAATTCAAAGATTTTTTTTCTAATAGAGTAACATTTCTTAGAAATTTGCCACAAAAATGTTTTTATATTCTCAGGTTCTTTATCCCACAAACCCCTCCATATTTTAAGCCATAAATCATGTGTGGTGTTTTCAGTCTCAAAAACAAATGTACAACTTTAGGAGTTAAGCAGCATTTTGAATTAAGACAAAAGCAGACTGTAACTGCATGCATTAAAGCTGCTTCTGCATTGAACTTATTTTCTTGGTAGATATTAGTACATATCCATATTTATAAATATGCAGTTATTTTGTTTTCTCCTATGGCTTTCTTTGCACACAATGTAAAATGACCAGTGGGAACAACACTTCCTGCCACTTCACTTGCAAGCCAGGCATCTTTTCATACCAACTCCTCTACAAGCCCCCAGGTAATCAGGCTATTTCTAAATGTTGTCAAATTTTTCCTCAGACTATTCATAACTCAGTCCTTCCTGCCTATCTCACTCGTGTAAGCTCCCACCAGCCTGCTTCTTGCTTACCACATCAAGTCTTACCTCTTATTTTTTGAGCGTCTGATGACTGATTTTGTTGGTTTTGCACATTATGAGTTTGGCCACGTCACTCCTCTCAGCACTTTTCTCTTTATGTCATCAGAATAACCTATTTTCATTTTCAAGAAGTTTCCAAGTTCTCTAACCAGCTATCCAGCTCTTTCACAGTAAAATGCCAGATTTTACTGTCTTTAGATTCAGTCTATGCCTCCCATTTCAACTTTCTGCCTAAATTTTCTCACATATCACCACTCAACTTGGAGAAGTGTCCCATAAACATTCACAAAGCTACCTGATGGCATTCTTTAGTAGACTTCTTTAAAAGACTGGGTTTACTTGGCTGTCTACAGTGAACAGGAGATAAAATCCTGTGGTGTTTAACTTCTTGCCTATTACCCAGGTTAAGGATTTTCACTGTCTCCCTCCATTACTCCAGCTACAGCTTTGCTATAAGCTTTTGGCTTAGAGCAAATGCAACCTCAAGATAAGCATTAGGTATTTTGGACGCTCTGTTAATAAAAGCAGCTAAAAGAAAAGAAGTTTTAACAAAGTAGCTGTCTGTATTGACATCTTGACTTCTACTTTGCAGTTTTAGCCCTGCACAAATGTGGTAATTTAACATGACTGACAGATACCCTTCTCTTGGAAGAGAAAATTAATATGTTGGTGAATCCATGACTATTATTATACTAATTAATTAGTTTCCAGCAATCTGTTGCAGAGGAGTACTAATTTCTCTAGCTTATCACTTGTTTGGTCTCTTCAAACCTATCTTCAAGATGTAAGAATTTTGAATTTTCAAACTTGTGCGAGAATTTCAGAGTACTGCATACAACCAAAATTCTGCATCTGAAATAGAAATCCATTTTGCACCTGTATCCAAGAGAAACATGGCACCAACTCTGTGAAACGGAGCCCTGCTTATGATCTTATCTTCATCTGGACTTTTTCACTGTTCTACATTGCTTCATAGCTTGTGTTTATTTCCTTTAATACCTTTGAAAATACACACTGAGTCAATGTGAGATTGTCTAAGAGCAAATAACAAAGAAGATTTGTTTCTAATCCTGAGAGATAGCCTGTACCAGCATGGAGTACTTGGACAGAAAATGCAACGTGACTTTTCCTTACCTCTCTGCCAGTGTTTGCTGCTCATTGATTCCAACATTAAAGAGCACTGGATACATGCGAAGCAGCTTTCCCTCTTTAATCTCTTGTGGCAGCAGCTCAAACATCTTTGCTGGGAGCTGGACCTCTATAATGTAATGTTCACTAGGAAAAATGAAAACAAGAGTGAGGATGGGGTTCTTGAATGTCAGGAAAAGTTTCTTCAGCCAGAGAATGGTTGAGCAGGTTGAACTGGCTCCCCTGGGAAGTGTCACAGCACCAAGCCTCACAGAGTTCAAGAAGCATCTGAACTCTCAGGCACGGGGTGTGATTCTTGGGAAGCCCTGTGCAAGGCCAGGAGTTGCACTTGATGATGCATATGGGTCCCTTCTAACTCAAAATATTCTGTGATTCCATAAAGAATGTTCCAAAAGCGCCTCTAATAAAAGAATGGCCTCTAATAAAAGCATGTGAGCTCCTGAACAGAATTTCACCTCCCCTGGGTGGCTGGTGTCTACCACCCACACCAGATGATCAGTGCACTGCTAGACAGTGCCACACACTTTGGATTGATTTGTTTGTGTACACAGAAGGTCAGGTTTAAGCACTTTCCTAGAAAAAACAATTACAAGTAAATATGCTGACTCTTCATGATAAGAATTTGTAGTTTGATTTTTCTGTCTTGCATTTCTACAGTCTTTCACTCTCATTTATTGAGCCATACCATATAACAACCAAAATAAAAATGGAGGGTTTCTAAAAAAATTATTAGAAAATAACTAGATTTTCACATTTTCATCTTTTCTTTTTACAGTTGACTTCCAATGCTGTTTGATAGGAGCAGTCTCATCACAGCTCTAAGAGGAATGGGACTCCTCCACATAAACCTTGTAGATTTTATTTTTAAATTTTTTTAAAATTTTAATTATTCCCAATGTATTGCCTATCATATTCCAGCCTTCCTGTTATTTATTCAATCCCTTCTCAGAAAGCCCATATGATGAGAGTGAATCATCCAGATTAATTAAGTAAATCAGTGGTGAAAGCCCCCTTCAGAGGAAACATATATTTTCTAAAAGTTCCTGCTTTTAGCTGAATTTAATTTACAGTCATCTTAAGAGCAATGATACTATTAAGGAAGTGATTTTTGCAAAATAAAAGTATTTGGAGCTTCAGACTAGAAAAATAATAAAGATGAAAAATCCATTCCAATCTTGTTAACCCTCAAATAGCCAAAATTAATGGAGTACTGCAGTTTATGTCCTGACATTCAGCAGTACTCACGTGAGATTCATAAAGGATAAGTGATTTTGTACAAGGATTTCTGAGACTGCCTATGTCCTGTGTGATTTTCAGCAGCTAAAAAAGGCTTCCATTTTTAAAAGTGACTACTAAGTTTTTAATACTAAGTGGCATCGGAGTTTTTTGGTTTCCATCTTAAAAATAATCAAGGCCTAACTCTTGGAACTGCAATTTCATTTCTCATGCTGAAATACAAATTCAGGACATTCAAAAGCAAAGTTTCTCAGTTAGAGACCACATTTGTAAACAATGGCCTTGTCACTTGTCCAGGGTTCAGTATCCATGTGTGAATAATGCACCAGCAGCTCTGCACAACACAGACATTGCTCAGATTAATCTGTATTAGTAACTGGAACTTCAGCTTTTTATCAGGAGAGTAACCCAGAGCCTACTGGCTTTTAGAATCCCTACTAACTCACCTTCTAAAAAGTAAAACAATGCACTTTCAATAAAACAGAACTCAGCAACAAGAAAACCATTAGACGGGTTTCATGGGCTACAGATTAAAACTGCAGCTCAGTTTCCTGGGCTCCAAGAAACAAAGTTCTTACCGCCTTCCACTTATAATAGGCAAAAAATCTTCTGACTTGGCTTCAATTACTCTAAACATTACTTTCTGCAAATCTGAAATGCCCACAGCCATGTCTTCGAGCATCCCTGCTTCTTCACCTACATGAAAAGATTAAAGAGACTATTAACAGAGTTGGCAGATCAGTCACTGTATAGGTCAGGGCAAAGCAATATATTTTCCAGTCTGTGCATCTAAAAATCACAGTTCTAAATCCACATTACAGTAACCTACATAAAACCAGACTCATTTCTTGAACTGCTGTTCAAGACAATTCTGTGCCCTAAATGGTAACCATGAGTATTAAGCAATTCTGAAAATCAGCCTGCTCTATATAGGCATAAAATAACCTCAGAAAAGCCATTTTTGTCTATTCTGAAAGTTTTCAAAAGGCTTTCCTGCTGATGGAGGACAAAGGTTTTGAGAATAAAAACAAGCATCATGTAAAATGGAGAAGACAGCTATCTCCAAATGAGCAACTGCATAATAAAGCTGCACAAATGCTAAATTCCTCTACTTTAGTCAAAATCTCTGATTCAGGGAATGATTCCAATAGATCTAGTTCAAAGTTTGAAACATAAGGCAATTTCTCCCTCCAAATTTCCTTTTTAATACATATCAAATAATGGCATGTGTAACAAACTATGAAACTGTTTTCAGGCTATCTTCACATTATCAGCACTGGGGATCAGGGCCGAGGCTGATAAAAGCAGTAAGTGTTTAAATCTTCCATTTGCATTAGTTTTATAAACCTGCTATTTTGGGTCAGGTCTGCATGGAACAATAAGCAGGCCATGTTCTCTGAGCAACTCAGAATGAAACAGATTAATAACTTTTGCTGCAGAATTAACAACACAGTGTCAATGACTTCAGCTGTGCTATTATGTGCCAGTCTACTGTCTTGTAAGGACAAGATTTGATTCAGCAAGCCAAATTATTGGAAAAAGAGCAGAGGTTAAAATAAGAACTTCCTGGGTAACTTCTGGGCAGGGAACATAAGGAACTTTGTCCAAGAGCAATACTTACTGTATGTGCTAAGGAGTCCTTCATACTGCACCAGCAATCCAACAGTGTGAAGCTGTTGTAAAAATCCTTGATCATGTAAACCTGTGTGCAATTTGATTACAAAACCACAGACCAATCCAGCGAGCTGTAAAGATAATTAAAACATGTGCAAGAGTGTTACAAGACAAACAGATACAAGACATTTCAACTGTTACAAGACAAACAGTTAAAATGAGGCTTGCTATCATTATACACAACAGAGGTAGCACCTACATATTTGAGAAATCAGCATAGGTATTTCTGTTTAGTGACTAAGTACATGATTTCATAATAATGTATTTTGATGGGTTTTTTGGGGGTGTATAAAGTAGTGAAATATTCTGTTAAGGTATATTAGATAAGCTTAATTTGTTTTGTATCATTGTGTGTTATTTACACTGACATAAATAAGACCAGAACCTCACTTGTCAGGCTTCAAACATGCAAGACTGTGAATTAAACATGTGAATTCTGATGGATTTGAAAGTGGTTCAACATCTAATGTAACTGAATCTCCTAGGCAGCTGCCAACTTAAGAGAGAAATTAAGTGAAATGTTTAGAAAAAAAATCTATCTGAAAAAAACATGATATACAGGAGAAGACATAAAGAGCTTCAGTTATGTGCCAAGAAAAGACAGTTCTAAGGAAAGACATGCAAATAGTATTTAAACACTTAAAACACTGCCACAAACTGAAAACAAATTATCTTCTCCCTATTTCCAAGGTGACCAGGAGAAAAAATCTCCCTGGCTTGGATGCTGCCTAGCCAGTACCATGGATTTCTACTTACTATTTAATTTCTTACCACATTATAAATTATTTAGGTGAATATCATGGAAAATAAATGAAAAAGCTGTATCAAATTGTAAGGAAAAAAAAAAAACCAATGAGAAAGAAACCCACAAACACTGGCATGAAGAGTATGCTTATAATTAGAGCAAGAGAAGGAAGTGAGCGACACAAGACAACCTACTGCTTGGCTGAAGACGATGTCTCTCCTCAGGGTCAGCATCAGGCACTGGGGCAAGCCACAGGCAAGTTCCTGGAGCAGGACAAAGGCCATGGACTGCTTGGCCCTGGTCACCACCTCTGCCATGCAGGCCTTCAGCGTGACCACCAGCGGGTACAGCTGCTCGTACCAGTCACCTACAACACGACAGGTCATCTGCTCCAGACTGGAAAACTCGCAGTGAAAAACCCTTCTTCACTAGGAAGGATGGCAGGAGCAGCTGTGCACATCACCCTTCCCTTTAAAACAACCCCTGCAGCTCTCCCCAGACCACTGTGGGACCACAAATGCCACTGGAGAACATACTTATAAGCAGGATTCCATCTTACCACTGGGAATGGGGTTAAATCCCTGGCCTGAATCCAACTGCACTCTGAAACAATGGCCTTTTCTAACAGTCCCAGCATCCCTGTAAAACTGGTATTCAAGTGTCACAAACAGAGTACACAGGGAAACACATAAAACCTCATTTAGCACACAGAGATTAATACAGTGGCGATGGAGTCTCCTTTCGGGACTCAGAACTGGCTATGTAAGAAATGAAATAGCATCAAAAATGCAAAACCAGAGAGAATAACCAAATATTTAAGAAAAGGTGGGTACTGGAGGGTAAAACACAATAACAAATAGGTATCTGGAAGGGTATCACCTACTTAATCTACAGGCTGGAAATATAAAAAGCTTCAGACCATATTCCTTTTTTTTTTAGATTCTATGTTGTTCTCTTTAAACATTTAGAGATTTTGAACTCATTTTAGCTATTTCTATCAGAGAGATGCAGACTATTTTGAAACATGTTTTTCTCTGTAAAAATATATGCTAGGCATATTAAAAAAAAACTCGTGAAATGCTTGAAAAATGTGATTCCTTAATACATTACAAATGAAACAGTGATAACTAGGAATGGAGGAGAATTGGAACACCTTACACAAACTTGCCCAATAATCCCAGCTACTCCTGAATTTTATACGATTTAATAAAATCAGACCTGCCTTGTAGCTGCATATGGCTTTGCCTACCCCTAAGTTGAGCAAATAATAAAAACAAATAAATAAATCCCCCTCCTTCAGAATCTACATCTCAGTTTGATTGTACAGTTTGAAATGGGGGAAATCAACACTCTAGAAGAATCTATATAAAAGTTGGGAATGCAACTGACAATGCAACAGTCTACAATTGGCTCATATTTTCTGTAGGTCAGTGTAATTAAGAATCAATGATAATTAAAATCTGTTGTAATTAGGTGCAAGACAGCAGCGTGTTGTTTCAGGTAACATTCTGAGTCAGGCCAGTAAAACCTCATTAGAACTGAGGAAGTTCTTGAGGCAGAAGACAGCTGCCTGTTGCCAGTCAATTTGGCTGAGCTCCAGAAAACACATAAATTAATAAAACTGCAGCCAAGAAGACTGGAAAGAGCTTTGAAAGCTGGGAGAAATTAGAGAAAGCAAGGAGCAGGAAAGGGCAACAAGGACAGAGCATGCACAGAGAATCGGATGAGCTCTTTGTTAACTTTGTGGTCAGACAACATGAGTTTTACCACAGTCATACATATTTAACCGTGAGTAACAGAGACTGAGGAAGCATTCCCTGGAAAAAAGCAGTTCTGAAGCGAGTGTCATCCTGACAAAACAGACCATGAGCCACCCCCAGGCACAAGCTCCAGGTGATTTTATACATGTCATTGGCTAACAGAGTGATGACACGCTGTGTGCCAAACGCTGGTGTACATGTTTTAGAGAGGCTGCTGGAAAAATGGAGAGCTTGCAGCGCAGAGCTACCAAGATTTAGAGTTTAATCTCCTTAAGCTGATGAAAAAGACTGAGCAGCAACTTGATTTCCCCTCTTCATGAGGAGAAAATAACAAGAACTAACTGTGGTGTTTATTCCAGGGAATAAAAGCAAAAGAACAACCAGAGGCTGCTGCAAAACACAGACGAGTTTAGAAATAAGGTAGGCAAAAAAGTGGAATGTACTGGAAGCCAGCGTAGACAGATCAGGATATCTAAAGTCTCAGTCAAATTACAATCCTTTATTAATTTAAGCAATATACATATGCCAATAAAAGCATCAGCAGCAAAGTAAGCTCAAAGTCTAAAGTCTAAGAGTTCTCTTAGAGTGACTCAGTAAATCGCATTGTATACATTTTAGAATAAGATATTTTTCAGAATACCTTTGTAGAATCACTTCAGGAAAGGAATAATACAAATTATTGCTTTTAACACATTCATGGACTCACACACATTGAGCCTTCGGATCTCAACTTTCTTTTAAATTAAAATCACAGTGGAAAATTGTTTGAAGAAGGGGTGAAGAATTAACTGAATGAGTGACCATCTAAAAAAAGGAGATTAGAAGCAAGAACAGAAGCGACAAGGAGACTCCGGGATGACTGTCAGGTTGCTAAAATGACATGGGCAGCCTGTCAGTTTGGAACACTTAGCATCCAGAAGAACTGTCAGAGTCTCCGGATAAAGCAAAGAAACTCAGCACAAAAATAGAGCTAGTCAGCCACGGGAAACTAAAACAAGGCATGAAAACCAAACATACTAAATTTAAAAATTAAAGGATGAAACTAAAAGGACAGTACCACCGCTGTGCAGTTAGAATGAGATTAAAACAAAAGTGCATGTTCCACAAAGCACTGAGTAAATATTCCATGTTCATTGCCAAGAGAGTGATGGCAGCTCAGTCTGTGACAGGATTTGCCCTTTGGTTACTGGAAAACGCCCTTCAGCCCCATGTTCCTGTAATCAACAGGCTGTGCAGGCAAATGACCTGCTTAGCACCCAGCTAGTCAGTTCTGCGTGCTCATATCCAAGTTGCAATATGTCAAACCACATGTTAAATTTTATAAACTTTGGCAGAAAAGCAAGCTTCTGGTCTTTTCAAAGTCAGGCCCACTGAAATGCTCATTAAAATATGCTGGTAACCAAAAAGGATGCTTCAGCATAGTACTCCTATCTCCTTTAGCCCTAGCAACAGATTAAAAAAGCCAATTTTGTCACTGCTATTTGTGCCACCTAAAATCCCTAAATTGCTTTAAGTCACTTCAAAACTTGAATGGTATGAAGTTAAAAAACCAAACCTTAAAGAAAAAGCAGAAGAATGCAAAATGTTGTGCCCTTAAAGCAAAGGGGGGCACTACAGCCACACAAATGTAAGAAATACAAATATAAATGTGACATATAAATGTAACAGCAGATACCCACGAGGTAACGTTTCACTTAAATTAATCACTTGCTACCTGATCATAAAAATATTCCATGACAGAATTGAAATACTAGAGGTAAAAAAACATAAATGAGTTGTCTTTATATCACAAAGTGATCATTAGACAAACTCTGTTTTAATGAAAAAGGCAGGCAAATCAAACCAACCAACCAACACAGCAGCAGTAAATCCCTAAAATCAGCATGAAATAATTAACCCAGAATTTGATTTTACTGACTTAGGAAAGGAACAGTCTTTGAATTAATGTTTTTTTTTAAAGGGAGGTTTAAAAAGACAGAAGATTGCACATATTCAACTTTGCACCATAAAAAGGTCAGAGCCTTATTTCTTTATTTTGCCACACAGCTCTTGGAGCTCAGCTGAACTGCAGCTGAGGGCTAAGCTCTTTGAAAAAGGAGGAGGCTTTGTACTCATAATGCTGCAGCAGTTCTTGCAGGAACAATAAAAACCTGAATAAGATTTCCTGGTGTTCCTGCACTTGAAGGTAGCAGTTTGCTTTGCACAGTTTGGGTGTCCAGAAATTTGGAATTCTTGGGATTTATTATTCCACTGCAGGCATCCAAGATTTTCTCCACTGTCACATGGATTAATAGCTAAACCCAAAACCATCCAATAATACCTACATGAGCATCTCAGCATGCTCAGTCAGAGTGAAAACAGAAAGAGAAGACAAAGGTAATAAAAGACAAAGCTAAGAAAATCTAATACACTTTAAGCATAGGAAGGTTCTGTGAATGCTGTGCAACTAAATATTCTTATATCTTGTTTTAGTTTGTTGATTCAGTTAAACAGTCTTTCCCTTACATATTTTTCAGCTTCTGTTTTTAGCCAAAGTACTTAGAGAAAGTACTGCTGAAGGGGATTGTCTTGTATTGCTGGGCTACATTCAGCCCAGATAAGGATCCTATCAAAAAGAAAAGGATGACACAGAAGAGAGGGAAAAAGGGGAAAAAAAAGCATAAGTAAAACTTATGTAAAAACAAGCTTCAAAGAAAAGGAGGGAAAAATGTGAGGAAGAGGAAGGAAAGAGAAAGCTTTTCACATGTGACTGCTCTAAATAAATTATGTCTGCTGCTCAAGGACACAGACCACAGAAAAATTTTTCATCTTCATGACTAAACAATATTTTATAATAAAAGCTTTTCTGAAGATTCAAATAAAACTAGAGCACGGCTTTATTTCCCACAGAACACAGCTTTATTTCCCACTTCCCACTTGCATTGGAAGGGATGCAACAAAAGGATGTAGTCCCCATCCCCAGGGCAATGAAAGTCCGAAATTTTGAATCTAAACTTATATAGTCCCCAACAGGTATGAGATAATACAAGAAAAATAAACCCACATGTGTCTGTAGCAATGTGAGTATGAACAGAGGTCTCCTGTAATTCCAGCTAGGAAATGTGGCAATGTTCCCCAGGTGCTCTTTGCAAACCTATGCTGAAGGTTATCAAGGGCCAGTTCACGGACCTCATGATTCCATAATTCACTTAAAGGCAAAATCCAGGTGCAATCACACTGGCAACTCAAATTGTTTGTGATGCTAGGTGGATCCTGTGTGTATCAAATGGGGGAGTCCTCACGCAGAGGCAGCGAGGGAACGGCTGGGTGGGAGCTCTGACAGGAGGCACGAGCAGCAGACAGAAACAGCAGCCACATGCAGCAGCCAAGCACAGACATCTGTCGGGGCTGTGCCAGCACCAGAGCCAACGCTGTGTTCCACTGGCACCTCTAATGCTGCAGGACAGGCTTTCACATCACAACTCTCACGGAAAACGAAAAGGCAAAAGTGAAAAGAATTTAATGTTGTCACATATTTCTCCAAGGCAAACCAGACTAGAGTCAGAAGAACAACAAAAAAGCCCTCTCCTTAAAAATCCTTCTACTCTTCCTGATTTATCCTGCAGAGGATTCATAATCCTGCGACTGATGAAACCATAGCATGTTACCTTGGTAACTGTAACTCAAATTCAGTCTTTAGAATACACTCAAAGGTCAGACTGCATGAAAAGTTAAGGCTAAGGAAGGTATAATTCACATTGAAAGGCAGAGTACAGCAAAAAAAAGTGCTCCAGTATCTCCAATTACAAAGATTCCAAACAACAAATATAAACATGTTTGAAAAAAGAGAGTAAGATCACACAATGCCATAGTCACTGAGACTGCAAATATCAACCTACTTTAGGAAACTCTGAATATATGTTACAACAATATCTAAATTTATATGAAGATGCTATTGCATCAAAATATTGTCATAATATTTTCTATCATCTAAAATGAACAGATGTGCATTTTTTGAAAGGTCTTTCATTGCTATATGCTACAAAAAACCAGTCAGGTTCACTAAATAAGCAAAAATTAAATCTCATACTTCAAGGCTTATTTGTTATTATTTTGTTCAAAACTCTGCATTCTTTTTTCTTACAAAAGCAGCCCAATTTCTCTGAGTATCAACTAAAGCAGTTTCAGACTTAAAGATCAACCTGTGCCATATATTTGCAGTATTAATGAAATACATTATGCTCAAATATGCTCAAATTATGTATAATATATAAGCAAGATGTGGCAAGCTTTTCATTTATGTCACATTTGTGAATTTTAAGTAGTGCAAAAGTCTGTTATTTTAGAAATGTATCTATGGGCGTACACAGTGTGATTTTGTATCTAGGAAAATGCTGTGAACTCATAATCAGGCTTCAAGTTTAAAATGAAGCAGAATTAAAGCCAAATTTGTAACTGTAAACTTGGAATCTCAACCTCTGTGTAGTTGCTTCACAGTGCAGCCTTAGGGTTTCACGTTAAATTTCAGAGAGGGAGATGCAGAGAAAAACAAACATCTACACCCACACTCTCATAGAGAAGTCAAGCATGAAAAATTCTGGCCCCAAAGTTTTGAAAATCATTAGGGAACCAACTTTGGCACACACCTGGAAAGCTCTTCGGAAAGCTCCATCTTTCAAGTTAGTCCTATAAAAGAAAGCAATTTTAAAACGTCTCCATCTCTATTTGACCTTGAAAGTCCTATAAACTGTCCAAGGCATTCCTAAAACGATGTCTTACTCAAAAAGGACATGAAAACACAGCAGTTTGCCCCACAGATCTCTGCAGCTCTCATGTGAGGGAGTGTTAGAGAACTTTCAGGACAGCTCAACAAAAGCACTGCTCTCACTGAAGGACACCTGTACTTATTCAAGAGAAATAGGGATGGCTCTGAAATGAAGAAAAAAGCAAGGATTTATTCCAGCATCATAGCAGTTGGATATTTTTTGTGTCTTTGGCCCACCAGCTCCAGAAGACAACTTCTCAGCTGGATGAAACTCATCTAAAATTTTCTAACCATCACTATTATCATTATTGCTAAGCAAGAGCTACCTTTCATTCTACTTGATGACTTGATGGCTGCCTTATTACAGTACTTTAAATGATGCAACTTTGCTTTTTCCTTTTTTGTTTCTGGCTTGTGACCTAAAAGTTGTAACCAATATTTCATTTGCCTGTGCTGGTTAAATCCATAACATGGCGTATAGCAGAGGAGACACTCAGGGGGTTGAAGAGAGTGAAGGAAATTAGGGAAAAGTCTGTAAAAGTCTGTAAAAGGCCCACCATCTAAGGATTCTCCCAAGTTCAAAACTACACCTACCTAGCTGTTAAATATTTGTACTTTCTCTGAGGAAGGCGGGAAAGGTGTAGAAAGCTGTGTTGATATTTTTCACCTGCAAGCCTTCACTAGAGAGCAGAGATTATATCACCCTCCTGTCTAACATTACATGCCTGGTAGACAGAAACTTAGAGAACCAAACAGATAAGGAATAAGCTGCTCTCTGAACAAATCACACAAAATCAAATCCAACACATCTTGCACTGAAAACAAGGATGCCAGGACTGCAGCATAAACCTCTCACACTGGTAAAATGCAGATGGTTACAGCTGCATTAAAAATCAATACTACAACCAGAATTCACAGATCTCACCAGTACTACACAAATGACATAAAACTTTAAAAGTAATTTTAATTCTTGTTGTGTAAGAAATAAATTACAAGTGAGTACTGATAACTTTAAAACTCTTTATATAAAATGATGTAATTAAATTCCGTGGAGAACATGTAAGGGAAGACACAGGATAAAATGCACAATGAAAAAAAAGAAAGTTGAAACTATACAAAACTGTATAAAATAAAGCAGTTGTGTTGGTTTGTTGTTTTGTATGGGGAGTTGATTTATTGAGCCGAAGAGTGGCACAAAGGTTGGCTCTGATGTCCTTCCATTAAGACTACTACCACTATCACTAAGGATCTGTTTCATTTATTGCAACACACTTTCAGACTAGAAAATCCCATTAGACTTATAAAGCAGATATAATCTATGTATCAAGAATGCAAACATGAATCATAGGAGAAGATCAGAAGAAGATCAGAAGATGAGAAGGAGAAGATCAGAAGGTGACAAGGACCCTTGTCACAAAATTTTCTTTACATCATCCCACTGAATTATTCCACTTGACCTTTTGACACAGGCTGACAGGTATATCCAGGTAAACATGAATTTTATCAAATCAGAAAATAAAAATCAGTATATCACCTCAGAAAAGCAGAAGCATTTGCAGGAGAATGACACTGATTCAGAATGTTCACCTTTCCTTACAAGTTTTCTATGGGGTAAGACACAGTCCAATTTTTTTTTTTCCTCAAAATACTACACGCAAGTAAAATCTAAAGTAAATTAAATTACATCAGCCTACAAAAAGAAAGACTGTAGTTTCAAAAGGTTTACACTCTAGCACAAACAACTGCGCATGGCAAGCAGTCTGAGCACACATTAAAGCTGTACTTTGATAAATAACATTCCACAAATGTGTAAACCTTGCCATTAGCACTCTCATCAAAGATACTATGGAGTCTTCTCTAGATGACTTTTCTGTAGCTGTGCAAATTTTTATTTACTCGTGTCAATGACTAAAAAATAAAAGATTAGGGGAGGTTGCTTACCGCCTGTATGCAACACCTTGCAATCTTCTGCTGAAGGCTCATTTTCACCCTCTTTGATGTTGCTGATGTTGTCCTTTTCAAGCAGCCTGTCCACCATGGCAATAAGGCAGTTCAAACTCTTTGCCACGTTGGCCCACACCCTGTCCTGAAAAGACCAGAATTATCACTGCATGTTACTGCAGAAAAAAAAACAAAAAGGGACAATAGTAAGTTATTCATGATGTTAGCATACGACTGCTCCTCTCATCCTTCAGCCTATTACCAACCTGAGCCTTTTTCATGGAGATTCTCTTGCAGCGTAAATGAACCCAAACTTTTATGGTTTTAGACACTGTGCACAAGTGCTTCAAACTCGACATAATGCAGACAAAGTTTCAGGTCTAATAGCAAGGAACTGAGCAGCTTGTCTATTTAAATGATACCTTAAGAGTACAGACACACTCAAAGCTTGACAAATGAAACCTTGTGTGGGCCAGTTTTGTCACAGTGTTTAATAACCTCTTTTTGATAATTTAACATATCCTGTATTTTATCACATCAGTTACTCTGCTGAAGAAAATGTTAATTCAAGGACTAGAATGAGAAACTTGCTGTCATGGCATATTTATTAGCTAACACAATTTCAGTTTTGTTCCTCACCTCTCACATAAACTGCAACCACCACACTTAACTGAGTTTACAATAGGAGAATTAGGGAAGTAATAGAGAGGTAGAAAAAGTTCTGTACAAGCAGAGAGGAAAAGAAATCATGTGGAGCATAAGAAAGAGCTGTTATGGATCAGAGACATAAGGAGGGTCCTTCAGGTGCTGGATGCTGCAGAAATCAAAGCTTTTGCACCTACTTTTGCAGCACTGAATAAGAAGGAAGAAACCAAGCCATACAAGTAATGAGGCTGTTCACAAGACAAGCAATCAGACTAAAACCAAACCATAACAAACCCACAGAAACCACCCTTCCCTCTCCAAGTATATGTTTCAATGCTGAGTCATTCTGAAAGTATTGCAGAGCAACCAGAGTTTGCTTGAGGGTTAAAAATGGGAATTTAACATCACTGCTTGGTTTTGTATTTTACAGAGCCAGAAGCATTATGTATTTGTCAGGTCTTCAGGCAGAAAAATGAAGTTGCAAAAATACCAAGAGAGAAGGTTAAAGAAAACTGAGAACTCAGAGAAATAGCATAGTTCCATTTAAATGGCAACCCTTGGATTTTGAGTGGAGGCAAATCTAGAGCCACTGCTAAGGCAAACATTTAAATCTAATGTCGCTTTTCAACTATATGCCTCGCTTCAGCCTGACTAGAGGGATCTTATCTTATGCCCTGCTCCCTCCTCCTGAGGACACAAAAGACTGAGGGCAGGTATAGATTCCTTCAAAAGTTTCCTCCTCTATGCACTTCAAGCAATCCTGAAAAAACATTTACAATATGTGTGAAACTACTGATTTTTACCGCCCACAAGCATAATTCTGGGGAGAAGGATTCTATGAAGAATCCTCCAGAGTATAAGGGAGCTTCAGAGCTTTCAGTCACTGAAGTTGCTGAGGAATATGCAAGTGAGGTTGCTCAGAGAAGTTGGAGCAATCTAATTTCCCTTTTCTTTTGTGTGATGGGGGAACTTAATTCCTGCACAAAAAAAGCATTAAGCTCTTAATGAGCATCTGGAGTTATTGCACAAGCAACACAAATATGAGCCCTTGTTTCACACTGGAAAGAGCACTTTTTTCAAACCAACTATTAACCCAGCATTGAGATGATTTCTATACAGTATTCCCACAAACATTCCCTGAGGGTTTAGAAGTGAAATTCATAAACATCTGTTGACAGAAAGCTCACTCTTACTATCATGTATCTGGCTTTTTATATACAAGCAACTGAGAGGGAGCAAGGGCCTGTTTCACAGCCCCTTTTCTCCACACAGGAGGCTCCTGGGATTGTGGGCAGATAGAAAATGTAGAGGCATCTATTTATCATTCATTGAGATGTTATTCTGTCTGCACCAAAGGCAGTCACATTTATCTAAGAAGGCTGTTGAAATCCTGCAGTTTGGCAGGAACAATTTTCAAGTAAAACTGCAGTTTCCCATCACTGAAAATCAAGTGGCTTCTATGATTCTCCATGAGAAGAAATTAATCCACTTCTTTGTTGGAGAATTTTGCTCAGACATGGCTTGAAGGAAAAAAGGCCATGAAAATATACAGCTGATTGAAAAGTAAAAGGCAGCTGTAAACAGCAAAGTTCTCAGGCTTGTTTTTAATAACAAGTAAATACCTTGTCCTTGGATAGTGATGGGAAAGCAGAGTGACAAACATGTGGAGGCCTTGAGAACAGTTAATAACAGGATGAGAAAAACAAGTTTTGGTCTCAATAACAAACCACAGGTATTGAAAACAAGAGGAGGGGTTGCTGTGTAATCTGTAGCCAATGATGAGCTCGGGTTTTGCAATATGTATGAACTTAATTAACACGTTTATAAAAATGTGCATGTTGGATCAATAAATTGGAGTTCGATGCTGATCAATTAAGATGGGTCGTCTCCCTTCACTTCGTCACTTCTTATTGTCATCTTTTACTATTTCCAGAATATTTTCCTGTAGCCTAGCACTGACCTTTCATCTTCTTAAGCAGATGAAAAGATGGAAAGGCAGGCCTTGGCATCAGTGAAAGCTGGGCACCTCTCCTAGGACAATTAAAAACGAGCCTGTAAAATAATTCTCTTTCATTCATCCAACTGAAAAAATTGTAATTAAGTTCCATCTGATCAGAAAGTATCATTAAAAACTAGGACACCTTCCTCATTTCAGAGAGCAGGAATGGACACTCCTTTCTGTCACTGCACCTGACTGGATGTCTTCCTTCTAAACACTGCCAGCCAGTGGAGTCCCAGAGGCTGTTTCTGTTTTTAAAGGATTCTCAGCCTTTCCGAATTCACCACAGAGCTCCTCAGTCACTTCTTGTCCCTCCATACACACCACTTCAGCTGTGTGCTTTGCTTGTGCCATGTATGGCACAGCATCTGCACGTCCAAGCACTCTGAAGATGCTGTGTCGCCTTCATTTCAGTGGATATTCAGATAATTCCTTAAGGCCTTTTTGAGCTCTGCTCAGAAATAAAGGAAATATCTTAAGTAATGTGCATGATTAACACCCCCGTGGGCTGCTTCAAGGGTCAGCTTAAAGAGTTGTTTAAGGATGTAGATTTCAGGCAAAACTAAAGTTCCAACTGCAAAATGTAACACTAGTACTTATAATAGTACTTATAACACTTAGTACTGATAATAGTGAGGAAAAAACCTACAACAGCAAAGGAGGATAGAGCATTGTGCATACAAAGCAACATGTATTAAAGTTTTTCCCTTTATAGTTGTGTTTCACAGTGGATTAAGTGTTTTTTCAGATTTTACATGCCTTTATTCTTTCTCTTTCCATCGTGCTAATCACAATTTGATTATTAAAACTCATATCACCTCTACTGACAGAAATAACTGAAAAGTTTAACCATTCAAATGCAGAAAAAATCACAAAATTTCTCCAAAATTTATACTGTCTCAAGTTTGACAATGACTCTGACTCAGCTCAATTCAGAAAACAGTGAAAGATACATTTAATTTGAATCAAGATAATTTTACTAATTCAGCAGAAAAAAATGAATACTGTTTAAAATGACCCACTTATGCAGTTTAATAGGTGAGGACCAAGCACCTGGCAGCTTTTAGTTATGAATTACAGCAAAGCTATCTTCTCTTCAGAGATGCTAAACTGCAGTACTAAATTAAAATGCAGCTTTCACAAAGTGCCACTTTTTCCAGTGCAAAATTTATCTCTTTTACAAAAACTATTGTGTTATTTATATCTCTGAATGTTTCAACAGCTAAAAACAAACATTTTGGCTTTAGTTCAAGCAAAGAGCCACCATTCCAGCCCCTCAGGTTGTTGAGAAAACAAGAAAACGTGAATTAAAGGCTCTAAAACTGGAGGACAAATGAAATAATGAGTTATTTATTGTTTAAATCTCACGAATACTTAATGCATGGGGCTGGAAATAATTGCCTTTCTTCTAGAAGAAATATATTCTTCTTCCTTTATTTTTGGTGTGGAAAAAAATTACAGTTTAGGTGGAATACCATAGCTCACACAAGTTATTAATTATTTACAATAGAGATGAATATGCTGACATCCTTTACGTCTATGAGAATACAGTGATGAACTCAAAGCATGAGCCTGGACTAATAAAAATAGCTTGAGTACATATGAAATAAAGTAACAGACCTATTAAAGAAGACATCCACCAAAATAATTGATTTATAACATTTCAGCCATATAAATAATACATATCTTTGAAAGATATGCTAAGAATGTTAAAATCCAAACACTGTATTTAATTCTTTTACAGAACCTCAGACAGTTTCTAAGAACAGAGTCTAGGGGCAATGGGCTGAGGGTTAATTCAGTGTATTTAAAATGATTACAGCCTGAGGGCTGGAGAGGGGTGTTGCAGGGGGTCGGGAAGAAAAGAACATTTCCCTGTGAACAGCATATACTGTTCCAGTCCTTAAATCTGCCCAACTAGCAAAACCAACCCAAGTAAGAACAAAGACTGTTCTTGTGTCTGGGCAAGAATACACTCAACACCTTCACTGTTCTATGCACAACTAGGCAGTCTCAGAGCAGCACACTGTACTTAGGCAAAGCCTTGCAATTTAGCTTCAAAATCTGCATATCTGCGATGCATCTGAGAAGCACAATTTTACAGTTTTGCACCCCTTTGCCGCCTGCAACGGCATGTGACAAGGACACTGAGGGCTTGAGGTGGCTTATGCTAATTTGCAGGGTTTCACTGGCCAAGGGTTTCTGTCCACTTACCCACTCCTCCTCATCATACTCAGAATGATGGGGTATGGAGTCCTGCCTTTTGACGTGAGCAGGATGGTCCTGGTGCTGTGCATCAGCCCCTTCCTCTGCACTGCTCCTGGGCACAGCTGGTTTCTTGAGCACACAGCCAGGCCGGGCCGTGTACAGCGCTAGAAGGGCACTTCTCACCAGCTGGTCCTTGAACGTGTGCACAAATAACTCCGTCTAGGGAAAAAACCAAACCAATGGAAAGGTTAGAGCAAAGAATGTGGTATGGCAGCAAAGCTGTGTAACACTGAATTATCCTTAGGCAGAGCGGCTATTTGTTTCAGGCCTGCCTGGGAGGCAGAAAACAAAGTAGGCCAACAAATAATGAGGAAAATTTCAAGAGTTTTAGAGATCACATTCTACAATCCCAGTGTTCTAAGCATTAACACAGGAGCACATTATCTGTCATAGAGATCATAATCTTTTCACATTTTATTTGAATTCCAAATTTCACCTCAGAGGCGAGCCTCAACAAGAACCACTTCCAAGAGTAACCAACCACAGCACGATGATTTCTGAATAAGTGTAAGATAAAACACAATTAACCAGTTCAATAATCTCTCTAAATAAAACCCACCACTCTACAATGCTGAAATAGCAGTATCTGCAAAAGCAGTATTTCCACAGATAAATTTTACTACTGGTAGGTGTCAACCCAGATATCATGGTAGGTGACACCTGATTTCAAGCTTGATTTTTTTGTATATTTTAAAGAAAGGAAACTCTGAAGTTGTCTTCTCGGGTCTTCTGAAGATGCTAGTCAATCTCTGCATCATTTTTCTATGTTGACTGTTACAGCTGGCATTTTACCGTATTTTTTAAATCCTTCAACCTCCCTGCATTATTCATCTCCCTTCCACCTCAACAAGGAAAGTATGCCTTTGTGCACGCAATCTTAATTAAACAGGGATGTGGGAAGGTATGTAGATAAGAGTCAGAGGATCCAGCCTCAACCAGCAGGAAATGCCAGAAATGAGGGCTGCCCAGCCAAGCTCCGTTCAGCCCTTATGTGCTGCTTATGCAAAAACTGGAGGGAAAAGTAGCCAAAAAAACCCCAAAACAAACAAGTGCCAAGTGCCAGCACCTCCCTGGAACTCCTGAGAAGATTCCTGGAAGTCTTTTCTCCCAGTTTCTGCATTTCTTATCCTATCCCTTTCTTCATACTACCTGTTCATCTTTTGCACCCACTCCTACTCAACTTCTTTTTCTTGCCTTCCTGTCTCAAGACCCTCTCAAAAGTTTACAGATATTTAAGACAGAAAGGCTCTAAAATATTAATGGTTTTCTTAAGGCTCCAGCTGCTAGGTGATGTACTTAAATGAGAAGTTTCTGCCTTTCCCATTTTCATTATGTTTACCAAAATAATACTTTCTGAATTGTTTCACATGGACGGGCTGAAAATTTTACTCCAAATAAATCTCTACAGTTCTAAAAATAAGAACTGCAGGCACATCTAAGAAAAATTATTGATTTTTAAAACCAAAATCAGACCTGACTTGGGATTCTTTAGACTTGGCAACACTACTCATCTCCCTGGCGATATTACCAGACCCATTCCTTCTCCTCATTACCAACTTGGTGCCTGAGGGAAAGGCCATTTTTTAACAGTTTTCTCAGGACTGTCTCCTCGTTGTCCTGAATTGCTCTGCAGGACAATTGCAGTTTTCTACATTTCCAACCCAGATGGTGCATGCCTGGAGAATGACTTAGTCTCTGGGCAATAGTGCTATCACACCCCACCATTCTTTGCCTTACCATGGCACAATGAGATTTGAGGGGTTGTGTGGTAACAGCAAAGCTCCTCTTCAACACTTCTACAGTTCCATAGCAAGAGAGTTGAAACTCCATTACTTGTCTACCCTTAAAAACAGCAATATCATGGTTTTGCTGAGGTTTAATATCTACCTTCCCCACAATGTCTGTTTGAGAAAATTTCACGTTTCTGGTTCAGAATAACGCTCAAAAAAACTTTACATTTCAAAAAATTATGAGAATTGGATAGCTTGATGTAAATAATGCCCACTAGGACTGCAAAGTTTAAGTAATATAATTGAATAGAAATATTTTATAGGGAAATTTAGTTTTTAAAAGAAAATCAGTATAGAAGTGCGACTCCATTTTTCATGCAGCAACTAAAATAATTCTGTAATTAAATTCCATTCAGAGATCCCATTGGTTTAACAGCAGTCTATGTTTTAACTTCACTTTCTAACAGCTCAGTACAGCCAAATTTGCAGAACATCATTATTTATGAAACTGCAGTGAAATCACAAAACCAGTCTATACAAAGAAATAAAAACTCTGCAAATTCTTTCAGATACTCTACTAAAGACTATTTCTGCAAACAAAGATAGGCATAGCTGGAAAATTAATTTATCAAGCCTGCTGCAAGCTGCAAATGCTGATACACTTGTCGATAGCTAAAGGCTTCCTTAATCAACTAACAAAAAGGGATGATAAAAGGTTAGTCTCAGGAAAACACTACAGGAAACTGTAAACTATATATGGAGATGCTTAACAGGAGAAAATAAGCTCCTTTTAAGAAGCAGCAGTGGAATTATTTGATTTAATTTTCCACTTTCAATCCATGCAGCCAGTCCTTCCATTTCCAACATGAACACTTAAATGTAATTCACATTATTGATAATTCAGATTTACTCACTGCTACCTAATAATTATAGAAAGAATTCTTATATATACCAAGTGATATGTTTTTTAATAAACTTGCAGAATTTAATCACCAGGCAAATAATTTTTATGGCTTCAAACAGATGTTTAATTTCTAAATATCTATCCAGTTAAAACATCAGAGCATTTATTTTTTACATACAAAAAGTGCAGGAAAGATGGAATAGCAAAGCACTACATATGCCTCAGGAGCACAAGCAGATATCATGTCATTATACTCAGCAGAGCATGTGCTACTCTGTGTTAAATGCAAGCAGGAACACTCTGGTAGTCTTGGTTCTCCAGTACTGTACCAGACTATACAGACAGAATATTTCAAGACAGCAATATAAGGCTTTGAATTAACCATGAGGGATCTAATTTCAGTGTTGTGTGGGTTCACTGAGTTTAGGGCTTTGAAATTGTATTTCTCTTTCCTGAAGCTGTTTCTTGGTCTCTCTTCCCCATCTCTCCTCCCCTCTTTGCAAGCAGCTGTCCCAGCACACTTGCTTCCTCAGCAATCCACCCTATTTCTCTATTGTCCACCTTTTCCTAGGAGTGCATTTGGTAATAGACAGGGAAGCAGGTATTGAACCACTCCTGCTGCAGTTGTTCAGACAACTGGATTTGTCTCTTCCAAGCAAAAGGTGGAGGCTAGACAGACATCCAAGGAGTACATGGGGTGAGACTCCTTCTTCTGGGAACCTGAGCTCATGCACTAACAGCAATTTAATCCTGGTCCTGAAAAGCTGATATGAACACACTCAACTAAGCCACCAGCTATAAATGTAAAATACCTAAGGCTTTAGCAAACTGAATGAATTGTCTTTTTTGTCCCCTTTTTATAGCCAGAGTCTCTAGCGAGCCATGGTTCAAGCAGTACTTTAGTACCATGGCTCCTGCCTCTGAAATCATCCCCTCCTCCTGTCCAGAGGCCAATGGCAGAGGAAATGCACATTGCTCAGCAACCACCCCTTGGATCTTCAGAACAAACCCTTCTTTGCCTGATTGGCTTTGCCTGTGCATACAGATTTCTTTGAACTAACCTCTAACAGAGCAGCTTCACTCTTCTATGCACAGCTAAAAATGCCCTCCTGCATCCAGAGGTACACCATAATCGCTACAGTCCCCCTCCTTAAATTCCTCTGTTTCATTTCCAGGCTGAATTCTGCCTTCTTCCATCACCCCTGACGCTCAGAGCGACTCCACATTCTCAGAGCGAGTGTGGATTCACACATCTGCCGCTGAGAGCGATGTTCCTCTCCCTAGTGCTCTTCTGGAATGCCTTCCCAGCAAGTGGCCAAGCTCAATATCAATACTTGAAACCCTCCTATGGCACGAGGAGCTGCTGGGGTAATGGTGCTCAACAGACCAACAGGGCTGTCACTTCCCAATAGCTGAAGATGCATGGAAATGGTTACTGATCGTGTTATTGAGCCATACTGGGATCATACTGCTGAAGGGATGGCCCGTGGAGAAATGGGAAACTCTTCACAAGCTCTCGGGTCACAGGGTTCATATTGTTATTCATATAAGGGCTCATATTTTTATAGGGTAACATATGCTGGGAAGCACTACAGGCTTCAGCTAATCTCCATTATCAGTCTGTGAGACCAGCGGCGAACATTATCTTCTCTAATTTAGAATTAAAGGAACTAAAATGAGGAAGAGGTTACAGCTACAGACAGATATAATAGGAGAAAGAGAAATAAAATTTGAGATCTCCTAGAGCAAATTTCCCAGCTTCTCCTTCCAGGCTGCATCACCATTTCTGATCATGCTGTTATTCTAAACCTTATACACCAACCTGGCTTGAACTACCTCCCATAAGCAGCAGCTTGAAATATAATAGAAAGAGAATGAAAAAAAAAAGACTTCTCATACTACAAAATTATTTATAATTTTTGATATTTTCATAAACTCCAGTATGTAGCCACTAGAGGATAAAGAAGCTACATGAAATTAAATTAATTACACTTTTAAATAAAGCAATCTTTATAGATTTCATTAATTTTCTATACGGAAGGCCTACAGAAATGCTGAATAACATTATTTTTCTAATAACAACATTTTGATGATTATTTTAGCTGAGTTTATTTAACATCTCCTGATGCTGTGAAAGTCAAATGATGCAGAAACCCCCCCCCCCTTCCTCCCCAGCAGTTAGAGAGACTTGGTTACTCCATTTTCCATTGCAGTGAGGATTTGAATCTTACTTTTTCTGAAAGCATCTTTAAAGAGTTCTTCAAGCTGTCTGGAGAACGCTGGCTTGCAGAACTGAGCAGCAGGTCTGCATGGCTTGATATGAGAGGCTGCAGATGACTGATGTTGCTGAGAACTTCTTTTGCCTTGGCTGTGTTTTCAGGTGAATAGTAAATACACTGGTATCCAGTGCTGTGATAACAGAGAGTCACATCATGTCAAATTCATTTCTGCCATTAACAGCAATGCTTATGGTGCTAAAAATCTTACCACTACTTTTGCAAAAAAAAAAAAAAAAAGCCAGATGCCTGAACTTCATAGACACCACTGATCCTGCATTTAAGGGTAAAAACAAACCTTTCCTTGAACAGTAAAAGCATAAACGGCATGAAACAGCCCACCACCACATGCTCCAAGTAATACAGTGCAAAATTCCTTTGAGTGGGTGATCTGAACATAAACCCCCATGTTTTTATGTGTTTCTTTTAAACACTGTAATTCTAAAGATAGAAAATATTTGACAAAGTCAGGTAATAATATCAAAGAGCATAAGGCTCCTTATTCTTCCAACTGAGCTCCCCAAAAGAGAATTGACTGCCTCACCGAGTCTTTCCAAGTGGGCCATTAATGTTGAATTGATCAGTGGCCCACACTGTGTTTTGATTGGCCTCAGTGATGTCCAGGAAGAGACGATAAACAGAGTTATCTCCAATAAAGAACAGGCATCTGATTTGCAAGAAGAGACCCAGCAATGGGTGCGGAAGTGAATTACTTCAAAACCACACAAATGCACACTGCAAACTTCCTACTGTCCACTGTTCAAACTACTGCAATTATTTTGCAGGACTTCTCCTATCCCTCTTTCTTCTTTTCCTCCCTACAAATGATGCAATATCCTCTTACACCACTGTTCTCAAACGCCACTTCAGACAGCATGCACACACCCACTGGCTCTTGCCTGCAGCCCACAGCTCCTCACCTGAACCTCTGGTACGTAACCCTTCCTTTTATAAAGCCCTGGTTTAGTCTTTCAGAGAAACTAACCAAAATCTTCTGCAGCTTCAGATTAAAACAGGAAAAAAAGAACCCAAGCCCCTCCTGGCACATCACCAATGCCAGAGGAATGTACATGCTACTCCCAGCTGGTACTGTTTGTATCTCCCTTCTCTCCTTTTTGTCTGAAGTATTTCAGTCCCTTCAGCCGTTTCACCACTGATTTCTTTCTTAATTTGGCATACCAAGACCAAATACTGACACTTGTTCAATCCTCTGAATTTTATGCATTCCCTTTCATTTCAGTCTTTGTCCAGATCTCTTCACTACCCACAGTTCCCCTTTGTGCCTTTTATTGAGTGAATTCTAGTTCCTTCTCTTTAGTTTTCTACAAATTAGAAACTAAATCTTGATCAGTCCCTTCCAATTCAGCATTTTCTATGATTCTGGCAAATAAGGATAGCTTCAATCAGTTTTAAAATTAAGGCTCTTGCTTACGTATTTTGCTGAGGTACACTCTCAATACCCAATTCTAATTTTCTATTCCCCATTATCCATTCTATTTTTCTGTCTTTCACCAATGTCTTCATTCCTAGATACAATTCTTTGTAGAGGCAATCAGGATTAATGGCATATCACTGCCATTACTACCAGCCACATCTAAATTACAACGCATCTCCAACTTACATGAGCTACTCACGTCTACTAGACCCATGTCTAGTAAAAGTCATAATTCTGAGTATTTCAGCAAAGTGAATAATATAAACTGTCCCTCCTAATGAATTAGGAAAAACAAGCAAACCTCTGTCCCTCTGAGTAATCAAGAAACTGCCACAGTTCTGCCTTTGAGGTGGAGAGCCTGTTAGTGAGATGACTTCCAGAGTCAGATCTGGCACTACATCCACTGGAACCCTCAAGCAGCAGGCTCAGTGGATAGGGCAGGGACAAAGAGCAATAGTCTGTGTTAATTGCAGTGAAGACATAGTCTTAAAAGTCTTGACACTTCTCTAATTCCCCATCAGGCTTTTCCCTCCCTTTATCAAAAAGTCCTTTTTGCAGGCTGAATCTAGCTAATGCTGTTATCAAGTTCACTGTGCACATACTCCTTTCTGGGATTTCCCTCAGTCTTTAAATCCTAGATAGTTTTCACTGATCTCCCACAGCTCTAGGCTTCACTGAATATTGCAGCAGAAAAGCTACAGACACCGCTTGTAAGAAAGAGGGCAGTGACACCAAAGGTGTGGGCAGTTCTCGTTGCAATTAAGTAAATCATAGCTTTTAAGTACAGGAATTAGTGAAGAGAGAATGACTCTTCAGAATGAAGTGCACTACCAGACTGGTAATTATTTGGACAATTTAAACATTTTCAGAACCCTAGAAAGCACGACACAACTTCAAATATTTAGTTCCTCTCATAATTTGAGAGCAACTTCCTCAATCCCCCTAGAAGAATGTGTAATTATTTTTCAGAAACAACACGTTTGAAGTTTCTAACTGTTGTGTTCACACTGCTGCATGTATGACTAGCTGAGGTTTTCTGTGGCCTTAGCCTTCACAAACAGATATTCCCACTCACAAGTAAGCGACATTCCCTCCTCTGCAGCTACTTTTAAAGCTTAGTGCTGCATGCAGCTCTGGTATGTAAGCACTGTTAGGCAGAAGAGGCAGCTGCCTCTTACAGAGAAACTTTTCACAGGTGTCCTAAGGCACAAACTGCATGAAACTTCTGCATTAGGGTAAAGGCCGCATGGGTAGGTCCAGTGCAGAATAGCAGCAGCATAATGAAAACATACCTCTCATATGTAAATTATGACTCAGGTACCTTCTGAAAACTGTATTATAATGCTTTCTGGGAAAAGTTTGAAAGCTTTCACTAAGCATATAAAACCACACTTGATCATTTCCATATATTGGCACCATCATTAACCATGACCACATGACTGTCAGCGGTCATTTCAGTCCTGAACTTGCTTTAAGGACATTCTTCAGATCACATACCAGAAAATTTTCACCTAAAAGAAAAGCCTTTCTTGCTCTCATTTCAGGTCCTCTTTTTTTTTTTTTTTAAATAATGTGCCTTTTATAAAAATTGGATATGACATTCCTGATGGTAATAAATGAGAGAAGAATTGCAAAACCACTGCCTTTTTGTAAATATTATTATACAGGACTTTCCCTTTGTGTCTGCACAAAGATTGATATTCTGTGTAATAGAAAAGATGCCAGAACTATCTTCACATACACATTTTCCACATTCTTCTGTTTGATAAACTTTCACAAAACATATGTCTCAGTCTTGTTTTTGTTTTGCAACTGCAAATGCTACCAGATAACTGTTTCTCTTTGTCTGCAAATTCCACAAGTCTAAGACTGCGCAAGAAATATATTGCAATATGCTGACACTGTTGAATATTTTGATAAACTGCTCTAACAATCAGACTGAAGGTCAAAAACACGCAAGGCAATTCTGTCACATCTTGACAGCTGCTAGGATTGGCTGAGAACTAGTCTCTTCCCACATCCAGCATTAGGTCTTCAGCTCAGTTAGCCTAGAGAAAACGGCTGCTGAATCTGCATTTTTCCTGTTCGTTCTGTATTCTGACTGATATCGCAAGGTGTCACTTCTTCCTTCAACAAAATCTTCAGAAAATCTAGCCCCATCATAAAACAGGAAATTCAAATTGCAGAAGGTGCCCCGGGGGACACAAGGTGTCCTCAAAACACCTTTATCCAGCAAAATAAACAGGTGCATGCAAAGTAGCACTGTTGTCGCCAGAGTGAAATAAATTTGTCCATTATAAGATTGAGAATGTAGTAAGAAATGGTTCATTTTCTGAAAGGTGAGCACTGTGACAACTGTAATGCTACTTTATATCATATAACTTTAAAGGATTATGTCTATTATATTATTTATATCTAGCGGCTTCAGTTATAAATTTTTATGATAAAAACCCACAAATCACTATTGCAACTGCATTAATCAGATAGTAAAGGAGAAGATACTTTAAGAAATGTCTTCAGACATTTTCTTCAGCAGAAAACATGTACTTTGTAGGCCCTCACATGATGGGGATGAGGCTGCCCATACCAGTTTGCTGACAGCAGAATATTAACACCGAGTTTATCGATGCGTCTTATGTGATCAACACGATGTACGTGTTTCATTGGCAGGTTTCAGCATCAGAGGTGGTCAGGGAAATGAAAGCTTTTTGAAGATTTAACAGGGTTTTTATACTGTGTAGGGCAAGCAAGACCCCCTCAATAATACAGCTTTCAAAGCAACTAGATCTGCTGGGTTTTGTTTGATGTTAATATTAATGCCAGCTCCTATTCAACCTAGAAGTCAACAGAAGAATTGAATAATTTTCCTTTTATTCTCTATGATATTTTATCCATGAAACTTTTTTGAGCATTGACTATAATGGAATTAATTTTCTGTGGACTGTCATGGTAATTTAGATCAGAGCACTCCCTCCCTGCTTTCCCTTTGGAATGCTGTAACACTGCAGTTGGCACCATCAGCTGGAGCACTGAGCAGTCACAACTACTGAAAAAATCTGAACAGCCACAGCAACAAACACAAATACATCCAATTCTTAGGAAAAGATGTGACTAACACTTTGGTGCATGTTCAACAGTGAACAAAGCATTTGAGCTCCACAATAAACTGAAACCTTTATTTTTGATTAGTCTTATTTTGGCTTTCTGAAGAATAAGAGTAGTTTGTTTTTTCACAGCGTACTAAAAATACTTCTACCTTAGCATACACCCAGGCCTGTCAGAAATAAAGCTGCTACCTTAAGTTACAGTTTCTGTATTTAAAAATTGTCTACAGGTACATTCCTCTTAGCACAAGAATTGCCAAAGAGATCGCTCATTCTGAACAGCAGGTTTTCAAGTACTGATATACCTCCAGCTTCCTAAAATACAAGGAAAAAAAATCATAATTTTGAACCATTAAGGTTGCAGAGGACCTCCAAGATCATCGAGTCCAACCTTTGACAGAACAACCCCCATATCAACTAAACCGCAGCACCGAGTGCCGAGTCCTGCCTTTTCTTGAGCACTTCCAGGGATGATGACTCCACCACAAGTCCCAATGCACAAAAACCCTTTACATGAAGAAATCCTCCCAACCTGAACATGCTGCAGCACAGCTTGAGGTAATTTCCTGTGTTTACTCAAAATTGGTCTTAACACTAGAAGTAGAGCGTGTTTCAATTTTCATCAAAGCAGGGGAAAAAAAGGGAATATTTTATGAATGCAATGTTCAATCCTACCAGATTTTAATCTTCCATTCATTCAGCAGGATAAACTGTTTTGTTATTCAGTGAGCTTATGGCATTTTAATGCAACCTTAATGGTATTTTCCCAGCTGCTGGAAAGAATACTTACTTTCGTCTTTCAGCCTCAAATTTACTCAGCAGTTTCCGGAGACCACCATTCTTAAATCCTTGGAAATGTGCTGCTGGGGCTCCCACAGTGATAACATCATACAGAGCATCTGGAATGGGAACAGAGGAACACAGACATCTGAATGCTTCTATCCCTAAATCATGGAAACACTATGACACCTATTCCACAAAAAGTAAGGATAAGTCTATATAATTTCCAGGGAATAATTGATAATCCATGTCCCAAGAAGGCCCAAGAGCTAATCAATCTTTCTATACAGCCACTGCACACTTGAAAAAGTTCATTTGATTTATGGCTATATGTAAATTATGTGCCACTGAGTAGAAGAATATTCCAGCTCTGCAGTTTACAAAGCTGACAAGTAAATTGGCCCATTGCGTATTCCACTCTATTGCCCCTTTCATTATTTAACTTGTAGTCATGTTCAAGCATTTTAGAGTCAAAAGAGACCATTTTGATGGAATAGTCTGACTGAATAATAGAGACTACTGAATCACAGCTAATAATTCCTGCATCAAGCTTGTCTCTTGGTTGAGTGAAGGCATCTCTTTGTTTAGGCATCTAACCTTGATTAAAAGATTTCAAATGACAACAAATTCACTGCATTCCCAGAGAAGTCAATTAGGCTAGTAAAAATCCCTATTCCTTTTCTAGCTTGAATTTGTTCGGATGTAATGCTACTGTACTTTCAGATATAATGGTGTTTAATGCTGAATTGGTGAGCCCTGCTCTATGACATACACTTCTTATATATGTTTATAAACACAAAGTCAGTTGAGAAGCTACCAGAATAGGAAATAAATCATACTAATGAAATGCTTGCTGAGAAAACAATCTGTTGTCTCTTTCTGTATATACCTGGTGCCTTATGACATAGGGGATGAATTCTTTTTGTGGATATATGCTTACAGAACTGGAGGTGAAACATCATTTTTCAAAGAGCTCGTGATTGATTCTCAGGGTGGAGATGAAGATTTAATTACATCCCACACCACATAACTATTTTTTCTAAGTTTAAAAATTTACATTTACAGTAAGTACCTGTTTTGTACCTGAACTTACTGGAGGTACAAAAGTGCAGTTCCGAATGCCTCATCTTTAAAATGCATTTCTAAAGGAAACGTTACAGGATGTTTTTTGAGAACTGTTTTATTCCTCAAAGAAGTTTCCCATGTAAATTAAAATCTAGACCTCTCCTAAAATAGAACTTGCATTGTGATGATAAATATGCCCAGAAGCATGAGCACTGTACAAATGATTCACAGTTAATGAACTATGCCTTACTTCCTGAGCTGAATCTCAGAACACATTTGCTCAAATTGATTTGAGCTCTAATGAGTTGGTGACTCTTCAATATCCACTTAAAAGGAGAAGTGACATAATTTCATTTGCCTAAGGTGAGCCTCAAGGTTCTTAAATAGCCCATTCTTTTAGGTCTTTATACAGATTATCACTAATACATATTCTTCAGCTATTAGGACTCCACTGATACTTGACAATAAGGAGGAGGAAGAGGCAGTCAGTGTCTTAAACTGGCCAGATGCAAAACAAAAATCACTTCAGTTCACCAAATCTATTTAAAACAAGCACATATTGCAAACAGGAACACAAGCAAAGCTATGTCAATATACAGATTTAAGTTCTCTAGTATGATGGACAGAGCACAATGTGGGGTTTATCAAATGGATAAGGATACCATTGACCCATAGGAAAACAGTATTTTTCCTCAAAGCTACTCCTACTGAAAGCTTAAGCACACTTTCTCTTCCATTTCAGTACTCAATGACAACCCAAACAAAAGTTCAGGAAAAGCAAACCTATTATTATACATGTCAAACACAAAAAAACCCACATACCAATGTGTATATACAATAGATGGGATTAAAACCTATCTTGCATTCCCAAAATTAAGATATCTGATAGTGTAAGGGCTAATGACACCTCCATGGATCATTAGCTTGTTTAAATGCCACCTCCATGAATTTTTATTCTTCCCCTTCCAGTGTCATTCTCCTGGTTATATTCCAGGTGTCCTTTGATATATGCCAAGCAAAGCATGAGCTGAGAAAGACCAACTTCATATCGAAGTGCTGCCTATTCCAGATCAATTAGCAATTGCTGCAAACTGCTTAGCCTGCATATATCTAATACAAGACACAGGGAAGAACATCAGTTAATTAACAGAGGCAGAGTTTTATAATTTGAAGATCCAAATCTGGAAGACAACTAGAACAATTCTAACATTTATCTCTTCCTGTACTCTTTTTGATTATCAATTACTGATGTGTGCAAAGCAAAATGGATTTGGACAAGAAGGGAGAAAATTCATAAAAAAGCAAAACAAAACTCCAGTACTGTAAAAGTTGTGGGTGCTTAATTAAGTCACAGATTTCACTCAACTTTTCTTTTTATTTAGCAAATAGAACAGTGTCCTGTTCACAAAGAGGTTTTGTTGAAAAGACAACATTAAGCTTCTGGCCCCCATTACAAACCTAAAAATCCTTTTCAGTTAATTAATTAACTTGAAAACATTAAATTAAAATCTGTGTTATCGCATTATGTCACTATAAATCCCCATCTTGTTGAAATATTTGGAGGCACAGTTTTTTAGTAAAAGAAATAACAAAATATTGAACCAACAAGTATCTAACAGATAATTGGAAGCCCCTGTGTCCCAACTTAGTAGTGGATGTATAGTCACACAGTACAAAACAGGAAATTTACCACTGTTTTTATTTCCTGTTTTGCAATCTTAGATGCAGAGTGTATTAACAAGGCAAAAACCGTATCAGAATGTAATTTCTGTGTTTGCAGTTACAGCAAATTTATCAGATCTCAATTTATCAACAAATTATTCACTGTGCCATTTGGTCATATATATGTATCAATATGATCTTTGATCTGTAAAGGAAGCTGCTAAAATCATATGCAAGTGGCAACAACAGAATTCTGTGTTAAAAAGAACCACAGACCATGTCAGAGAAAGTTATCCCCCTTTCCCGGAGATGTTGGAAGCTTGCAGTATTTTCACTCAACACTGAGCCAAAATAGCACATATTCTCCATTTACTTATTTGCTTGAAGTGTCATAGGAACAAAATGAGCACATCCTTGGAATCTGTTTTTAGAAAGGAACTTGGAAGAAATTTAGTTAACCAGCCCCTAGTTTTCCAAGATGTGCAGTAATTGTCCACAACTTGTGGCATCAGAAGACGAGGCAGGGAAATTCCTTGCAGAGCTTTGACTTTGGATGTGATTTCTAGATTTCAGTGAAACTGTGTTTCAAAGCACACTTAGTCATACTTGGGGAATTTCTTTACCTTTCAATCGAGGACTATGCACATGCATTCTTTGCAGATGAAGATTTATTGGGATGAATTCTAGTGTTTTTTCTCCTTTGCTACAGCTTGATTTAAAGGAAGAACCTGAAAAACAAAAGTTTAAAGAATCATTGTCTTAACCACCCAGATGTTTCTGTATTCCTTTTAAAGGGAGACAATACTTGTATGTGAGGAGTTGTCTTTAATTTATCTTCAATGGATAATTATATATTAGGAGATGAAATGTTCACTGAGTCTCAGCATGTATCCATACTGGAAGCAGCAAAGCAGCATTTAATTCACAGAGCAATCTAACTATTTTATTCTGGGAGACAGATACTCTTCCCTGCTGTCTGAAATCAGTCTGTAGTCTGCTGGAGACAATGCAGCAGTTAATGTGCATTGTGTATATTCTGTGCTAAAACTGCGAGGTTACAGAGCTATGATGGCACTGCATTTTTCCAAGTAAGATTATTTTCTTTGAAGAAAAGTATTGTATTGAATAGGCTCTGCGTTCTTCCTAGAAAGGTCAAATAAAGAAACACAAACTATCTTAAGGAAAGCTATATATTTGTTCAGAGGAGGCATGATGCCTTGGAAAAACAAAACAAAACAAATTAATATGGCTGTATATTTCCAAAACATTAGAATTTGAGTAGTTTTTTGGTAGCGTAAAGAAAAATAATTAAAGTCCGACAGCATGAAAATATAATTTACCTGAACACATTTAATACAGAATCTGTATAAAATAAAAGGGTGTAGATTAGGAAAGAGAGGCGGCCTTGTCTTCTAACTCAGGCAGCCCAACGTTTACCTAGGCCACTTTTCCAACATTCTATCATTTCGCCAACTATTAATTACTAGAACTAAAATTCCTCTCATTCAGATGGAATTTCTAAATAAGTTTTGCCAAGGTTCAGCCTTTTTTTGAAGCAAACACATAAAAAGATAAAGAAAATATTTTAAATTGTTTTTTGCTTGCCCAATCAAGACTTGCTAGTGTTTATCTGTTGAAACTGCCACAGGACTGAGCACTGAGCCTCCCAATATAAACCACTCTGCCAGAGGGCACCAACGATGCTCCAGACCAGCCAAGCATGCTCAGGCTGCTCCCTAAACTAGGAACTTAAAATTATAATTTAATACAGATGAAGAGCACAGCCAGGAGTCAAAATTTTAGATTAGACAGGAAATCCCATGATGCAGATTGAAACAAACAAATAATTTTCAAAGTTCCACTCCCTCCCAATATCACCAAATCTGTGCTTTAGAGTTACCTGAAATTACTGGGGTTTTTGTTTCCTAACCCTTATATCTTCCTGGTATATTTCCTCACAATAAAATGCTTTACATTCTCTCAAATTCTCCCATTACTGAGGATAAAAGTGTTTGCCAAAACAACTCAAATCTGAAATAGTTTTAACTTTCTTAAACATCCATTTTTAATAAATATGCTGGTAAACCAAAATTGCTGTCTAACACTAATGTGGCTTCCTCATGCTTCCACAGCAATCTCTCAACTTCAAAAAGAAATTAGGTGGTCTCCTAACAGCCTTCTCCACTAAATTCCCAAATAGTTTGGTTGAGTTCAAGTGGGTATCACTCAAAAAGCCCAACATGAGATTATTGTGCTGGGGAAGCATGAGCATATTTTGGAGAAATTTTATTTGCAGGTGCTATCTGCCCTTCTGAACAATTCAACACAAACTCAGGCGATATTTTAAGATAAAGAAAGACACCTGCACTGGCTACACTGAACAGCAAAATGCTTTTTGGCATGCCTTGAAATATGTTGACCTGAAAAGTCTGAATTAAAATTGTACTCACATCCCTAATCTTAGCAATTTCTACTTCATAAGTACTTGAATTTCAATGTGCTCCCAACATAACTATTTGTTCAACTACAGTATTAAATCAAATCTATGTCTGGCTCGCTTTTCTAATCTTGTATACAATCTTGTATTAGGCTGCTTTGTTTTCTGATTAATGTCCCTTTCTCTTTTACATGTGCTGATTTGCTCCTCCTGGATGACCTCAGTTTCCCAGGACCACATTATTTCTCTCAAGACCCAATTAAGATGGGTCCTTTAACATTATAAACCCTTTAGAAAGCCACTTTGCACAACACAGGTCTTGCAGGGTTTATGTTTAAGAGATTATATTGTCTGTTTTTTAAAATCTCAAAATGTCCCCTCAATATTTTCCTGAATGTTATAATTATTACAGTGGATCTGTCATTATCTGTATTTATTGGCTTGTTTACGACACTTTATGGAGCGCTTTCAAGATTAATTAGGCAAAGATTAAAAATACATATAGATACCATTTAAAACAGAATCAGGAAGTGTCATACTGGGCTAGACAGTAGATGCCAAAATTGGAACTGGGATATTCTGATGATGGCAAACAATCATAAATACAAGAAACGTCACTTCTGCCAACAAACTGGAAATAATTATACAACATTTAGTGCAACACAAGAGCTTTTTCCCCCACCAAATATTTAAGCAGCTGACCGACTGCTTTCAAAAAGGTGACTTTCAGTTAGAGACTGTTTTTTTTTAATACACTCAAATTGGATTTCTCCTTTTCTGTGACCAAGATCTCTGCATCCAGCTCTGGGCTCCCAGCGCAGGAGGGACACAGACCTGCTGGAGTGAGTCCAGAGGAGGCCACAGAGATGCTGATTGGAACAGTTCAGCTTGGGAAAGAGATTTCAGGCTGATGCAATTGCAACCTTACTGCCTCAGTACCTGGAGGGAGCTTACAATAAAAGCTGGAGCGGGACTTTCTACAAGATCATGTGATGACAGGACAAGGGGATTCAAACTTAAATGAGGAGATCTGGATTAGACATAAGGAAGAAATTCTTTAATGTGGAGGGAGGTGAGACACTGGAACAGGCTGCCCAGAGGAGCTGGGGATGCCCCATTGCTGGAAGTATTCAAGGCCAGGCTGGATGGGAGTTTGAGTAACCTGGTCCAGGTGGGCTAGAACTTGATAATCTTTAAGGTCCCTTCCAATCCAAACCATCCTTTGATTCTAAGATTTTTATGTATTTTATTCCCACTGAATATGCCAGTATTTTATAGCTAACAATCTAGTAAGCTCTGAAAGGTTCCAGATAAAATCACAGATTCCCACCTGTATGCTTCCCAAGCTCTGCCAGAGTGTCCTGGTACATGCTCAGCATCTGATCACAGTGAGCAATTACACTTTTGCGCATGTTGTCCCAGTGAGGAGCAAGCTCTCCCAGGTCTTTAAGCTCCTGATTCCTGTACCAAAAAGCAAAAAGGGAAGGCGCTAATTAACTCATTAATCTATTAAGGTTCATCCAAATTAATCTAAAACAAGTTTGCTACAAAACATCAGAAAGATTTCCTAATTGAAATAAAATCCGTTTTCGGACTGCTTGTGAGATCTGCTTTTCATCTCTCTTTTACAAGTACACAATAAATTATGTCAGTAGATAATGCAGTAACTTTTGTGCTCAAAACTCATCTGGTATAAATGCAGTAACCTTCAAAATGAAATACCACTTCTTTCATGAAGGAAAGAAGGCTTCCAGGCTCCAGAGAGCTGTGCTCAGAGCAAGTAACTTTATGTGAAGAGATATTAAACAACATTGGAAAGAATATAAAGTTTCTTTTTCCTGCAAAACTTTCAGTATGGTTGTTTTGATGCACTACTCTTTGTATACTTTCATAAACACTTCATAAACACATATTTCTAGCAGTGTTTCTACAAATTCAGTTTAATCAACGCATCAGCTCTCACCACATTTCTTCAGGATTCAAAACAAAATATACACAAAAAATCCCAACACCTGCTCCCTAAAATGTCATGTCCAGTGTTCATCAGGTCAAAAAAGTACTGCTGTGGTAACCAAACAGGTCACTGGAAATCCAAAAGGAAATCCTTTAGTAAATTATCAGTTTTCCTGTACACTCCTGAGAGCTGACCTGAGTGAAATAGAGATCATCTGAATTTCCTGCACAAACAAGCTTAGTACTTTGGGCTTTCTGTTTGGTTTTTCCTCTTGCAGAGGAAGTTTCTCCTGTATCTCTCCCAAAGCCATTTTGTGGGACCTGCTTTTAAGGAAAATAAAAGATCTTCAGTCAGTCTTCAAACATCTGGAATTTGGCAGGAGAAAATGTTTGCAACACAACCAGTTTTCATTATTTTCCTTGGAGCATCAAGAAGAGTGTTCCACTGCAATTCTTGGAAGTCTCCAAAAAGTCTTCCAGAAGACAGTTCTTGCATACAGAAAAATTATGTAAGAAAAAGCAAAAATGGGGTAGAAGAGGTGGAAAGAGGGAGGAAAGGACCAGTGAGCTTGCAGCGCAGGAACACAGAGCTCACTTATGTGAGCAGCAGATCTGACCATTAGTCAAAAAAGCCTTAAAATGACTTCTTAAATGGAACAGCAACACACTGGTGGTGCTTTCCCCATCATTATTAGCTTTGCATTAGTGTGAGCAGTGCAGTCAGAACAAGCTCCATAGGCAGACCTCTGCTCCTGGTGTAGGTGACAATCAAAACCAGAGAGACTGCACTGGAAGCGGAATTAAAGCATTGCATTTGTACATGTTCTTGAAAATATCAACATGGAAACAAAGACACAACACGTGGACTTGCTGACAGTCTATGTTAACGATATTATTACTTTCTGCCATTTAATTGCTCCTGAAGCTGAACCAATTAAACTTTCCTCCAGCAATACAAACTGGTAATGCTGTAGCATAAGAACAATCTGTCACGAAGGGATATGAGAGGATAAACCAAACATTCTCAGGGACCATTTTCTTTGCCAGTTTTTAGCAGTATAACATGAGGTTCCCTTTCAATTAAAATCTTAGGGCTTCCTTCTCAGAAAAGTGTGTAAAATTTGTCAGGGTATGCAATTTTGTTTATGTGCAGCGATAATGTTTTGGCCCTTAATATTTATGGTGTCTGATTTAATAGTTTTAGCAACAATGTTTGGACCTGGCTGGCTTCCAAAACTTTACTACTCCTTCTGTATAGGAATAGAGTATTCTATCCAAGAACTACATCCCTGCCTCCATCTAAGCTCATGCCTGGAGCTGCTGGTCTCAAACTGAAGTTTGAGAGTTAACTCCACTGACATCAATAGCAATGGGAATATTAATTTTAATGGGTCTTCAAGAAATATCAAATCCTGCCCCCATTACTGGTGACAAGGTTGGTATTTGTTTCTTCTCAGAAACATGTACAAATCAATGAAGTAAAAATTCAGTCTTCAATATGTGGCAAAAAAAGACACATCAACAATGCTTAAAGTGAGAGTACAGCGCTATAGCAATCTAGAGCATACACAGCGTGGAAATTTTAAAGACTACGATTTCTGAATTTATTTGCATTTTAAACTCCAGCAAAATCAAAACCATTAGAAAACAGGATTATATGGCAGACACTTCCATAGAAAACAGTCTCATAGCCTCACTTTATATCTTTATTTCTTTTTCTAATGAAATTATAGAAGACAGAGGATTTAAATTGGATTTATGTCTCGTGGTCTTTTTACAGTTTATCACTGCTATTGTTGACTCCATAAAATTCTGAGTTATGAATGAAAAAAGAGTTGTCTTTTCTATATCTAAACTCCATCAACAATACTCCACAGTACCAAGCTTTATTATTATTACATGAAAGGCCTTTTCTAAAAGTACACAGAGTGGAAAAACCATAATATTTTCCATTTTTGAAAAAGTTTATAGTTCACACTAATACAATTGTTGAAATTTTTAATAATATTTTAATACTTCAATGTTAACTTATTTTACTGAATAACTTTAAATATCCACTTCAACCAGTAACTGTGTCAAACAACAATTGTGCTATTAAAAAGCACATAAGCTGAAAATGCTGTATGAAGGCCAAGTAGCAATTTTTTATACATACAGCTTCAAAAATCTAATGATGTGTTTCCTAGTAAAGCAAACATGACAAATTCAAAACCTAGAAAACTAAGTGATTTTGGCCTCCACTAAGCAAAATGAGCTTCTGAAATCTACTTTTGCAAAACATCAGAAGCAAAGAGCTTAGCAGGATTCAAAACAAGAGGAGACATTTCTGCAGATTATATTTGCAAAACTTCTGTAATACTGTAACAGCATAAAAATTCTGAATATTTATCAAACAGGAGCTTTGGAGTAAATATAAACCATAAGCTTTGGGATATGACTCAATCATTCATACATAATGGAAGTTCAGAAGCTTCTAAGGAAAGGAGCACAGGAATTATTCTTCCTAACAAAGTTCACTTTAAAATGTATGGATAACCGCTTCATCTTTTTTTTTTTTTTTAAAGAACAGAATCAGATAAAATTACTCTCATTTTTCTTTGCTACAAGATATGCTTCTGTGATATATAGGCAATAAACTCCAGACAAACAATATAACATTCCCTCCAGAAATAAAATACTCATAGCTTTTTCACTCCGTTGTTTCCAAACCAGGCAAATAATTATTACGGAGGAGTCAATAAGAAAAAAAAAAGAAAAAAAAAAAAAGCATGTTTTTCTTTCTCTGCTAATAATCTTATAATAGACTCTCTTGAAAACAGTTGCAATTTTTGTCTCCTTACAGAATTTCCCAAAATTATTTTAAGTTTTGGTAAGCCTGACCCGACAGGCAACTAAAAACCTCAATGTGAGTTGTGCTTACCTTTGCATGCCCTGAACAGTTGTTTAGAAACAGAAAAAGAGAAAACAAAGCAGAAAAAAGAGACAAAAGAAATCCCACCAGAACCCCATGAGCAAACTACCCACCCCAAAAATGGCAACAAATACATTTAAAATTATTTTAAAACCTCTTTTCCTATGCATGTGAGGAGAATAGACTGGGGTTTGCAAAGCCATGATAAGATTTTATATGGTTCCTAAGAGATGAAAACTTTAAGTTCCTTTTAAATTTCTATCCACTACACTTTTTATTATACAAAAGTGTAGATAATTATAAGCTAAATTTAACTCGTTTCTCCCTTCCTACTTTAAGACCATTTTGCTTCCATTCCTGCTTTAAATTCTTTCCCTTAAAGTTAAAATAAAGTCAAATACCTTTAGAAGTTACAAATTTCAAAGCATCATCTCAATAAATGAAAGGGTTTGGTTAACAATGAACACTGAAGTTTTATCAAGAGACAATCAATCTCAAGATGGCGAGAAAAGGGAATTTAAACTAAAATTTTTAATGAATACTGAATAGCATTAACACTTACTGGCACATTTTTATAGGTAATTGCTTCAGACCTGACTATATTGAAGCCACAATAAAAAAAATGAAACAGGCTGAGTATGATAAGTGGCTTCTGAGACAAAAATATTTATCCTTTTATACTAACAGAGGGGAAAAGACACAGAGAAGAATACTTGAGCCCACACCGAATATAGCAGCATCCTCCTCACACGTTCTACTAGACTACAAGTGTAAGGACTCCACAAGAACACACATCTCCACAATTGCTTTTCTTGAAAAAGAAAGGCCAGACAAAGCAGAAGCTCCAACCCACACTCTTATATGATGGTAGATGACACAGATGCTCCTGTTCCCACCATCTGCTGGTATTCTACATAGTGTTGCTCATTTTGGTTAGTCTCATCTCCTCCTCCAGACTGCATCAATCACTTGGTCTCTTTCTTTCACACCCACACTTTCAACTAGGCTTGAACAGCTCAACCACACCGGCAGTCAGGAAAATCAGAGGCACTTATCTCAATCTTTGTGCCACTGTTACTTCTGTTTCTTTTTCAAATCTTTATTTTGGTGAAGAGAAAACCCCACCATGGTGAATTCTTACTAGGAGTTTGTCCAGGGAGGTGAATTCTATAATATGATACAACAACAAGGACTATTACTTGTATTATGCCTATGGAGAGAATAATGCAGAAGTAGTAAAAGTGGTTCAAGTAATCCTCTACCATTTAAAAGGCATTTACCCATGAGGCAAATGAAAATATGGGAAGTGCATGAACTGTGAGACTCAGTATAATCTATTTTTATTGTTTACTACAAAAACCTTGCACATAAGTATTCTCAAACAAGATGAGGCCATAAATGCCTAAACACAGTACTAAATGAATAAAATAAACTATTATAACAATTCATAGGAATTTTATAACCCATCATCACCATGCATAAGGATGTATCAGTCCAGTGACTTTATTAAAATCAAGATTCCAGCCTCCCACATGCTGTTCTATTGGCATATAAACATCACAGGGAAGCAACAGATGGGGTAAATAAAAAAAGGAAAAGAAGCTTGATACTGCAGAACAAACAGCCACAACAGGTTGTTTTGGGATGTGACACAACAGGAAGGAATTGCCTCAAAGCGCACAGGATGGCTTTGGAATGCAGCACTGGGTCCCAGCATCACTCTTACACATGAGACCAGCTGCCCATCTATGTGTTAAGTAACTTGCATGAGGAAGGAGGCAATATCTTCTACATCATCCATTATCGCTGGAAGAAGAAGGAGGCACTGTCTTCAGGGTAGCCCTGGGTTACTTAAAAAGATGTTTCCCCAAATTTTATCAGCACAGCTTACAAGGGTTCAGACAGGCTCCATTTTAATCACTGCAATGGCAAATTGGACATTCAAAGGCTTTTGGGACACCTGTGTTCTCTATTCTCCTTTTTCTCCAGGCCATACACATTGTTATGATTCTCAGATATCTCTCTGGGTTATGAGGCCAAACGTTAGGGTTTCAAACAAACATTACTTTGGAATCCTTTTCTTATGCCAACTAATTTAGATTAGCTAAAGGAATGTCCATTTTATCCTCATTGCTCCTTTATTCACTATAAACTTGTCATTTTTCATGGCATAATGTTTGTCTATGTTATTAACTCTACCCAGACACATAGCCAAACACAGCACAATGTTGCTCAGCCCCCTGTCATTTTCTGATCCTTTATAAAATGCTAATGTTCCAGAATATTTAAATTGTTAATCAAACGGTGGTGCTAACAGGTTTAAAGCCATGACTGCACTTTAGCACAGTTCATTGCTCAGAACTTATGAGGTCACTGGAGTCCTATTGAGCAATCAATTCTGTTCAGTTACAGCTGTAAATTCTTAGCAGCTATAAAAGTGCCCATTTCATACTACAAATAAATATATTTTAGCTCCTCGTCTGCATGATTCAAAGTCAGAAAAATATAATTTATATTGCTGCCTCTTCCTTACCTTCTCATGTCCTCCTTTATGTGCAGATTTATTAGTTCTTTAGGAACGTGGAAGGAGAGGGTGGTCTCAGCCATCTGCTCCCGGATCCGCATCCACTTGTTGTCAGAAGTAGGGAATCTATACAACTTACAAACAGGGTTTCTCAACACTGCAAAGAGCAAAAATAATATCATTGCTTTCATGTGCTTATATGACTCCAAACATTTATGACAATAACCTGCATCATTATTATATTATTTCCCCCTAGCTTACAAAATTAATTTTAGTATCATTAAAATTCTACTAAAAACATTTAATTTCTATTTCATTTTTATACCAGTATGTGGAGGGCAAAGTATTACTAGTACATCAATAAATCGCATTTTACCAGCAGAGTAGGTAACTTTTGAATTTAGGTCTTCAAAGTAGTGAGAATGTCAGACTCTTTTCTTGCATTTCAGCTGAAGTTAGGAAAAGCAGAGAGCACAAATGAACAATGAACTCAGTACAGCCACCACCACAGCTTGCCAGCACCACTCACAATTCCAATAAATTGCACAGGACTCAGGGTACAGCTGCATCTTCCCCTGGACATGCACACACAAATCATTAATGCAAATTGGAGGTGTGCTTCTGCATTAAAGGAAACTTGAACATATTAGAGTTACCTGGAACTTTGATGGGGTCAAGACACTGCCACTACATAGAAATAAATATAACAGCCCTGTCAATATGTTACATACACAGTTTTCAGATCACTATTGCAATGTGACATAAGAAAATCACATTTCTTTGTATTTTGGAAGATTATGTTTAAAACCCATCACATTTTTTATTTTACAGTTTTCATGTGTTGGCTACATTTCCATTCAGATCTTAAAACGATGCCATACAATCTACTCTCTCCTTTCCATCTTTTTATTTTCTTTTTTTACCCCGCTCCTATTTTCCAGAAAGATCAAAAAGGGGAAAAGCTGAGGAAGAAAAAGTTCTGTTTCACTAGTTTGGTAAGTTTACTTGGAGACAAATGATTGCCATTTAACACACACATCCACAATATCTTGACTTGGAATGAGTGACAGCTACTAACAGTGACAGCTACTAACAGTGACAGCTACTAACAGACATTTCACAGACACCATTAATGTTTATGTAGTCTGATTTATAGAGAATTAAAAATAAAAGGTACCCAAACTGCCTTGTCTATCTAAGCAATCAGGATTTTTAACAAATATCCTTTAGGAAAGGCCTAAAAGAAGACCAGAGATTTAAATACACTGATAATAAACCCACTGCTTGCAACCCGAAGAAAGGAGCAATGTTTAAGTGGTCGCACTGCTCTATATTCCCATCACTCCACTGAGATGTCTTTCATCAGCAATCTTGGATGAAAAACTGTTGTTGGATTATGCCCTTTTCTGATCCAGAGATGGAGCAACCGAGTCTTAAAAAAATTTTATTCTACTTTCAATCTCTTGGGAAGGGTGAGACAATACAGATGTTATAATTTACGCCTTTACAATCAGAAGCCAACTATTTCTTAATTACAGTACATTATAAGCACTTCTTGCCATTTTATTGTCATTTTATGAGCCTTTTTAGAGTAATTTTGCCTTTAGTTTTTAGTGATTTTACTTTCAAAAACTAAATTTTCACTCAGTATTGTGAAATAAGCGAAAGAGATGCTTAATTTCTCTGACATATTAAAAAGAGCAATTTTTCTTTACTATCAATACCCAAAATATCTCAATGTTCAAACCTCAGGAAACGAAGGGCTAATTCAAGGGCTAATTCAATTCTGGCCTTAAACAGAAAACTGCCAAACCAGATGATAATTTTGAGTTGGTACTGTTTTTTCTGTTGTGCCCCCCGATCAGCATATTACCTGGACATTTTAAATGATGATGCCCCTGACACAAAAGATTCTTTATTTTGCCTTTTTATATCTACTTCCTAAGGAGTTTATCAAGGGATTTTTTCCAAGAGCAGCCCTTAAATTCACACTCAGAATCGACTACACTGAAAAATGCACATTAATCTGTGAGAACCTAATGCAAATATGTATCTGAAAAATCTCTTTCCTCCCATCTCCCCACTGTTGCCACCATCACAAAGAAAAACAAACCCCAGAAAACCCATCACAACTGCACCAAGGGACAAAGAACACTAAAAATATGGATTCAAAGTTGTGACTTTTATTGTGGCTAGAATTATTAAACTCCTCTCCAGGTACTGGCTTCATCTTCAGGTCTTTGATTCAGGTCTGAATTTTCAGATGGGGATAATCTCAAGTGTGTTGTAAGTTTTTTAAATGGTCAAATCCATGGGTTTAAGAAGAAAATTTCATTTACAAAGTCAAAAAAAGCCTGGGCATTTTTCCCAAATAATCCCAATATGCAGTATTGCTAAAGCTTAAGATTTAAGGCCAATAAAAGCTACATAAGTACTTGATGTTTTTTCCTTATAAACAGAACTACTGAAGGCATGCAACTCCATAAAAATCTCAGAAGTATCTTCCCCTCCAACTGCAACAATAATTAATTTCTAACTGTAACAAGTTGTCTAGAACCAAATTCTAGAGGGCATGTACAATAAGAAGGGTGAGACTAGAATTGGTTTTCATAAAAAGTAGTGATTAAAATGAGTGGAAGTTTCATAAAGATAATCCTTGCTGTACTCAGACAGTGATCATGAGAGGCATTGAAGAAAACCCAAAATCCACATGAACTGCAGTGGTTAAAAAAGAGAAAACTCTGTTTTAAAAGCTTTTCTCCACAGCATCAAGCCTGAAAGCCAATGCCATATATTTACCCATGAATATTTTTGGACATTGTCATTTTTAGTATGAAGAACCTCTGTGCTTTTTATTCCATGCAATATCCTTCACATTGCTTCCCCTGAAAGTACAATAAAAAATAATAAAAGATTGAATACTCTGGTTTTATTTTCATTCCCTATTGAACACAGATCAAAGCATATCTTTGCCATATATTAATTTGCTAACAGTGTTCCTATTTATATCTTTCTTTGTAGCATAGGAATATGATGTGTGTTACCTCAGGAATAATAATTAAAGCTTTCCTAATTTTGCTTAATTTCAATTACTTCTCTTATCTTTCTTTTTTTAATTTAGAATGCAATTTGTTTACATGTAAACAACTGGCAAACTCTCCAGCATTATAAATAAGTAACTGAATTTTGAGACATAAATTCAGTCTCTGGAGGTATAGAAGCAATAGTGATAAGGCTCTGAAACACACTGCTTATTCCCACTCGCTCAACAAGCATCTCATAACTCACTGGAGGGCTGAGAGTTCCCTATCCTAGGATTTTAATTTCACAAGAATGCCAGCATGCTTCTATGCCTACAAGCTTAAGGATTCACAGAGGCAGCTTTTTTTTTCAGTTTCATCATTTTGAAGGCCTGATAAACAACAAGAAAATACCAGAAAGCTTTACAGCAGCATACACGTGAACTAAATATGAATGTATATGGAAAACATACTGTTCTGGGGGCAGTTCTGTATGAGCACAGCATGTCAGCAGGAAAGTGGAGGTGATGCTGCACGAGAAGAGAAAGTCACAAATACAGGAAACAGACTGAAGAGTAATTATTTATCTGAGAAAAACTTCCTGTGAGTGCAAACTCTTCCCAATAGTCTGCATGCTGTCATTTCTTGCATATGCACCTCTTTCCCCTCAATTCTTTAAAAAAAGCCTGACAACCCAAAAAATGACAAAAAAAAAAAAAAGCTCTTCATGGTATGTTTGACTTTATAAACCCGAGTAGTGTTGGGTGGGCTTTGGTTTTATATTGTGTTTGTATATGACAACAACAAATGTGAAAACGCTGCCTAGATACACTGTAGAATCACATGGAAATATTCCTGACAAATTGATGGAGACTTCAATATTCCTAAAACCGACGTCTACCTTGGAAGTTCCAACAAAACATATTCACAACCTACAGCATTTTCCTATACAAAAGAAGTCAACAACAAACCCCAATCAGACCTATACAAGGGAGGCAACAAACAGAAAACAATCTGCTGTGAATCAGCATCGTTCTCTGGCAGAAATGTCATTTCTTCAAGTCTCACTAATCTGGATGACATACAGAATCACAACCAAAGAACTGCACTGGGCTAGATGAAATCCTTCACCTGGCCTCTGTATCTTGTGCCCAAGAAAAGCCATAAATACACACCTGGAGACACAGGATACCCTCCATGCCTCCAGCTATTTCCAGTTCAGGAATTTCTGGAGCCGGATGTAGCTCTGGCACATTCAGAAATTCTCAATTAACATCTTTCTCACTTTGAATTGATGAAAATAAATGGTACTTCTCTAGAACATATTTTTTCTGATTCTGATCTAATCTCAACAACTCACAGAAAAAAAATGCAATATTCACACACATATGGAAGAACTTAATTTTTGGCAGTTTTTAGGGCTTCCTTCAGACTGCAAAGCAGATTCAGAAAGTCTGCCCTATCAGAGAAATCAGATTAAAAAGTTTCAAGAAAGATTTTAAAAAGTTGTAAAAGTTTGGTAACATTCCTCCTCAACGGTATGTAGCAAACACAGAATTCTTGACAGTGCTGTGGTTTTAGATGACCCATATAACTTATTTGTGACATTGTTATTGCCGAGTAATGGAGATTCATAAACTCGGGCTAATAAAGGTTTTATGGCACAGCACATCAGCATGTAATACTCCTCAGATAATGAAAGACAAACAGATCTAGTTTAACACCATGCACTCAAGCCCAAGCTGGCCTAGAATTGAGAATGCCTTGCCAACAGCTCCCTTCATTCTAGGACAGACAGTTTCCAGATCAATCTGAAACTGCCACTTCACCAGTTATGAATGAGAGAGATTGATTGTCCTGGGTATTCACTTACAAATAATGCAGAATTATTTTACAGAATGCCGTACAATGACACAACAGAAACTAATGACGGTAATTCCATGCCCATGGAAGTCACTGACAGTGATTTTTAGTCACTGAAAATCACTGAACAGTAAAGATGCAGGAGATGGAGATTTCAGCACTGCTTCAGAAAGCGCAATTGACACACATTTATTCAAACTTCTCCCTGAAATGATAATGCCAAACACATATAAAACACCAAAATATTGAACTTGAACATCTGTGCAGCATTTGAAGAGACATTGATGAGCTCTGCCACGAATCTGTGTGATTTCTACAGGACCAGAGGCGGAGTTGCAAGAGCTGTCTCTTACAGATATTGGAATTCTTACCTGCATTTAAGGAAGGCAGGTTGTCCTTCCCACTTATGCCCTCAGTGGCTGTACACTCACGAACCAATGCACACTGCAAAAAAATACAATACAGATGTGACACATTCAGGGGGTCTGAGATAAATCCATGGCAGTTTATAAAAGGTAGGCTGAAAACCATGAGTGATAATAACACAAACTTCCAAAGTCTTACTTAGAATTTACATTTTTCTTTATATTTCTGTTCCAAGATACTGAAACACAATCAGAATTATAGCCAAGAAAATGAAAAAAATATGATCAGCTGTTCCATAACAAAACAGAAATGTTTCCTACCAGTATTATGGCAGAAATGTTGAGAGATAGTAATAGTTTAGCTTAATACGTTTTATTATAAAAATAAGGCACTTTAGTTTAAAACCATTTTTGACAAGTTCCATACTTTCGAAGAGGTTTCTTTAGACAAAGCAGTTTTCACATGCACAGTGCAAGAAAACACTTCATTAATTTTTAAACAAGGGAAAAGCAGGAAGCACAAAAAAGTCCTTAAAATGTGCTCAGATTTTGTGATTCACCAGTTCAAAACTTATTTATTTTTTATTAATTCAATGACTCATCCTTCTCACAATTGCATCCTCACTATCAACATATAATCCAAGACTGTGTTGCCACTGATTTGTACAAACCAAGGACTCCTTTAAAGACCATACATTGGTCATGAGTCTGGTCTCTCTTTACAAGTATTAGAAACCCCTAGAAAGCTGCTATTAAAGCCTTCTGTGTCCCCCAGGCCCAACAGAGCTCAGTAACTACATCTCCAATAACTGCAAGGAGTCTCATTCCACATTCTGCAGTGGAAGAAAAGCCAAATAAAAGAGAAGGCTGAAAAAAACAGCTCACGTTGCCTATATTGTGCAAGTTTTATGGGTCAAAATCAGGAAGATTTCACAGCATTTGTTGCTTTTTTGGAACTGGTCACACTCATCTAAGGCACTGAAGTTCTCTGAGATAAGCAGTGAAAAAAAGTGTGAAATTTACCCTCAGACTGATTTTGCTATGCAGAAAAGATACTGAAAATAATGTCCTCTGCTCAAAAAATAGTTTTATATGTAACTTCCAAACAAAAAAATCCTGCATTCCCTGTAGCAATATTTCCTTTTATTCAGGAAGAACAGGATACACCACAGTGTTAAGAAATGAACTGTTGTATTCGGGCTGCAAAAATTGTGTGCTCCCATTTAATGCAGATGAACCTGCCCCTTTGCAAGGGAATTTACCTCTTCTTTGCTTTGCCTGTCTGTCATTCTTCCAGCTTTTCAGTATTGTGGGCACAGATTGCACATAAAAATCAACATAAACAGGACTTCAAGGGCAGAAACCAGACCAGCTGTCCAAGGAAAAAAGAAGCTGTATTTATGGCATCTCTCTGGACAGTTTTTATCAGAAGTGATCAAATATATTCAGTTGAGATAAAAATAAGCTATTTTTTTCTTCAAGAAGGAAAGGGCCTGGGAAACTCAGGTTAGAATATTACTCTGTACATCTTCATGAATTTGGTTTTTTTGGATGGGGGAGATAAGTTTACACAGCACTTGCGCCACAAATTTTGTTTTAAGTTCTTAACCCAATTTGGTAATTAGTATTTTAGACATCTGGTACAACAGATCATTCTAATTAACTTTGTGCAATAAACTGAGTTTCTACCTTTTGATCCTGAGCATCTGCTGTGATGTGGTCTGTTTCCCCCTCATCCAGCTCTCCCATCTTCATAAGATTGACTTCAATGGTACCAACTGTCTTTCCACCATCAGATGTCCTGGGAAAAAAACCAACCCATGACACCGGGTCACTTGCAGCATCAAATCCTTTCAATTAGAATAACATCAGTAAATATTTAGTGCCCTCTCCATTCTGTAAAGTGCAGCCACCGCTACTGAGCTGGCTATTTACCATCACAAACCAAATGTTAACAACAATGAGGCAACTTCTTCAGGACAATGAAAGCTCTCATCACAACACTGAGGACAGGTAAGTGCTATGAATGGTGCATGAATCCATGAACACTGCCAGGTTCTCATTCTAGACCTTATCCTCTTTGTGGACCATTGGATAAAGGGCTGTAACACTGCACCAATATTCCACTGAGGATCTGCAATCCCAATGCAGAGTACATGGCTTTGTTTCCTAACAATCTGCAAAGAAAGGACAGAGTGTATTAACAGAATCCCTGCAAAACCAAAACAGTGAAGCTAATCCGAATATCACGTTTCCCTTTGTAATCCCTCCACAGAGAAATTATTCAGAATCCATCCCATTTCTTGAACTATATGGGAATGGTAGTATAGTTATAGGTGAATTCCTTCATTATCATCCCCATAAATAGTTTACTTTCAATTAATCAAAAACAAATAATTTAGATGTACATCATCGAGAGAAGAGCATTGCTGACTTCCTTTAGGAAGAAACAAGGATTTAAACTCCTGAAAGATAGCAAATGCTTTTTCAGCTTTCACTGGCAGCACAGCACCAAGTTTATCTCCCTGGCTTCTTCTGAACAGCTAGATTTTTTTTTTTAAAGGAAGGAAAGAAGAGTAACTGATAGTTTCATAATAATGAGGAAAGGGTAACAAAAGGCACCAAGCAAAAATAGGCAAAAAGGAAATGACGAGAATAAGTTCAGCACAATTACAAAAACACAGCGAGGAAGGAGAATCAAAACAAATACGTGTGGGGCAATACTGTGTCTTTTCTGAGCAGTGGAAATGAAGAGTGATGAATCAAGAAAAAAGAATACATAGAAAACTTCAATGTCATAAAATCATAAAACCACAGAATTATTGAATATGCTGAGTTGGAAGGGACCCATTAAACAAGTTCAGCTCGTACAGTAAAGTCTCAAAAAATAGTTACCCCCAAGCTTTCAAATTAATTATCTTCCTTGAAAACCATTAGGCTTTACTATGCACTCAGTAGAATACACTCATCTTGCAACTACACAAATCTGGTCTTCTATAAAACCTTGCAAAATAAACATAATTCTTCATGTTTTACATGTGTAAAACATCTGCTCTAAGCCAAATTAATTACTGACAATAAAGAGACTATTAAAAATGAACCAGTTCCAGATATTTTTGCAATTGAAGAAGCCTATATTAATTTAAGAAGTATCCAGAAGAAAAGCAGTAAGGGTTCAGTGTCCAAATTGTGCTTATGAGCAGAAATCTATAATAATATTGAAAGGGCCTTCTGAATGAAGAACTTTCCCTGGAGTTGCTACAGCCGTGTGGCTTGACTGCTCCTTCTTGTGTCAAACCAGCACCCAAACTAGGCTCTGTCAACAAATGCACTGCAGCATCCCCAGCAGAAAGGGAATACAGCAGATGTCAGCAAATCACATATCTTTAGAAGCCAAAGTGTGTGGTTATGAGACTGACAATTTTTCAGGAGCTTAAGGTGTTCCGATCAAAGTGCCAAGCAAATGAACTGATCCAAACCAACAGGGCCTGTTGCTCCAGTAAAATGGAAATGCTAACTACACTTTCTCATCCTTGTCTCCTGTTCTTTAGAATCCTAAATATTCCCCTTGGTGCTATTATTAAAAGCTTGGCCTCAGTATGACAGCGAGCATTGCACTGTTTGCCTGCACAAGGAGCAATATGTATTTTGTATGGGTTTAAAAACAGTGATTGATATAATTCCACTTTTATATATTTTTTTATTATTATTTTCTTCTCAAAATCACTCCTGTTCTGGTCTAATACATATTTAATATTACAATCTGTTACAGGTGTTACCTGTAAGAGAGGGTAATGCAACACAATAAAACTAAACAGTGGGACTTGTTGCACTGTAGCTGCACTCCTTTCTCCAGTTCTTATCTTCCCACACAGAAATACGAAGACACAATTTAACAAAAAAGGCAACAACAACAAAATCAACAAATCCCAAACCCAAAGTTTCTTTTGAATGCTACAGGCATACAAATCAACAAAGAGCTCTGTAAATGCCCAGGGTAAAACTGTCAGACTGATTTTAAAACACCAGCAGCGCCTGAGAGTCTTCAGCTACTTGAAAACACACATTTCAAACTTTCCAGCAATACCATGAGATTAAAATTTCATTTGAAAGAAAATTTAAAAAGAGAAACAGAAGTGATGGAGTGGGAACAATAAAAAAAGCTTAGTGATCATACCTTAGTAGGATAAAACCCTGCATAATTTTACTTTGCACTAACAGTATTGAGCACACACACACATCATGTATACACCTCATGTCCTTTGCTTGTAGAGATGTACAAAGTCTCACACAGACACACTGTTCAACACAGCACCAGATAAGGAATCAATTGGTTTTAGGATACTTCACAATGCATTAGAATGAGATCAGCTTATTTGCTGTAGTTTAATAAAGCTGAGAAGGGCACTCTGCACTCACACGGTGCAGTGAAGACGGTCCCTGCACCAAATTGCTTTCAGTCATGAGTGAGGAGACACATCCCCACAAAACAAAGGACTGCACCTTGACAACCTGCTTAGGGCGAGTTGGGATGGGGAATCTGGCCAAGAGAATAAACTCAGCATCAACATAAGAAGCCCATACACGGGACAAAACCCACCTGGCTTATGGAGATGGAAAATTGCTGATATTTTTTGGCACCCTGGGACAAGGATTAGCACTCATCTGATACCTGTCAGCAGAGCACCTGCATTTGAAACAGATTTCTCTACTATCCCAGGTCCTTAAGGATCCCCAGGTCAGTATTAGTTCCCCCAAATGTGAGGGAAGGAGATAGCCAGTAACACCACGAGCAGCAGGAATCTGTGCCCACCTTACTCCTTCTGGCCATAAAATGCTGACCAAGGCATCCAGGGAGAAAAAAGGTAACAAGCTAGTGATGGAAAAGTAAGTGAACAAGATGGACTGAGAACAGAAGGCATTTGCCTCCAATCTTCTAAAAAAAAAAAAAAAAAAAAATCAGCTTTTATTGCTAAATTAGCAACCAGTATACCTAGCTCTTATTTAGAAAGGAAAAAATAAAAGTGTGATTTTATTTTTTTCATCAGACACACTGTATCATACACTCAATATTAAGAAACATTCTCCTACTGAAAAACACTTCTGTTGCATTCAACAGCCCATTTTTTGCCATTCATCATCACAACTGTATGAGAAAGCTGGAAGCAAGTGACATTGCGTTATCACTGCAAAATGAAACATGCAAGTCTATAGAAAACCTCTCTCTTCTTATAAATTCCATATTGAAAACTGCAATCCCAAATCTCTAATAACTAAATTCCTCTCCCAACACCTGTTGTGTACACTGAAGTAATTCTGCAAATCAATCTTTTTGTGTTTTGATGATTACTGCACAGATCTACCAGAAACACTCAGCCACCAGTTTAGGACACCTTTATGGAGAAGAAAGGACAATCAAAATAAAAACTTCTTTTGCAGAGGTTTTGTAACTTGTGTCCCTAATCACTATTAGGGCACAAGGTTAGGAAAACAGAGAAGTAGAGCACTGTGTGTCAGCAGTAAGAATTTGTAGACACAAGCCAGCTCTCCACAAAATAACAGAAAAACACAAGAATGCTCCTTTGAAAACACTTTTATATTGTTACATTGTACCTCAGAAAGATAAAGGAAAAACATAACTAAAAAAAAGGGAAAGAAAAAGAAAACTCAGTTAAAAATTAAGCAGATTCTATAATTACAGCAATCTTTACAGGGCACACCACAGAGCTATTTCTGGGTCCTTAAATCTCTACTTTAAATCTAACAAAGGAGTATCTCAATCACAGGCATGCCCTGATAAACTCCTATCCAAAGAATATCAACAAGAATTAAATAGAATTTATTGCTCTGACAATTCCCTTGATATATCCTCTATCCTCCTGAGAGGTACTAATACTGCAGGGTAATTAGAGGAAAGCAAGCTTAAATAAGTAGACTGCTCTGGTTAAATTGCCATCAAAGAAATGTGGATCATTTCTACTGACATTCTGCTGCCCAATAGTCATAATCAGAAAACAATCCCACTTTTGAAAGGTTAGGATGTTTTTCTTAAAAAATATCCGACTGACTAAACCCTACCATTTAATGTGTCTGCAAATTAAATTTAATTGGTACATTTGTATTTTTGTGTTAGCTGAACAAAGAGGGCAACCAAGACTAAAAATATTAATTAAAACCAATTTTTTCATCTATTTCTTACGAGTTTTCCATCTTAACTTTTTGCTTACAAATTGGGCAGCTGAGATACAAAATATTTACTCTGAAACCGAAGCTTTCCGTTCTGTCAATTACTGTGCCACCTGTTGGAGACAATCTTCCAGATCAAATTTTCAATATGTCAGTTAGGGAAACCAAATTTATCCCAAAGAGCTGAAGACAACTTGAATTCCTGTAAGAACAGATTCTTACGATCACTAAGCTGGAGTTCATCAACCTAGGTCTGTACCCTGTCACTGATTAGAGTTCTGTATCACACCCCCTGCAGTCTCAGTGTAGCTGCATACAACGAGTTCAGGAGACCACAAGCATTTTCATGTGGGAGACACCTTCAATAATTAGGACCACCTTCTTTAAACGTGCCTAAAAAAACCTGTACACTGCTAATTCTTTAAACCACACACACCAAACAAAACTGACAATTTTATGCTCCTTTCTAAAGGAAACTTTGAATGAATATTCCCTATGCCAAGTTCTCTACAATTCTTCCATAGGTTATCGTGGTATAAAATGACCTTTTCTAATCTGGCACATGGGAAGCTCACTTGCTACCTCTTGGGAGAAGAGACCAACCTGCATTTCTCAGCATGGCTTTCAGTTAACTGTGGAGGGTGACAGGGTCTGGCTGAGCCTCCTTTTCTGCAGGATGAACATGCCAGCTCCCTCAGCCATTCCTTGTTCGACTCGTGCTGCAGACCCTTCCCTATCTCTGCTGCCATTCTTTGGATGAGAAATGCCAAAGGTTAGTACTTAGAAAAACCCTGATTTACAACACTTACCTGAGGGTGAGGGTCAACTGCTGCTCCTTTGACTTTACCAGATCACCCACTCTAAAAGTTGCACAGCCCAGGAAGCTTCGCTACAAATCAAAGCAGAAAGAAAAGATAACATATTTATCCATTTTTGTTACTTCTTTTGCTCACACACTTGAAAATCTTTCTTTGCTACAAAGAAAAATATTGCATTTCAATATAACAGTTTGATACTTAATCCTCTAGAATTTTTTTTGTGCAGCATGATTATCAGTAAACTCTTAAAAACTTTGGTTTTATGGGCAGGAACCTTTCTCTTTTCCATTAAGAACAGTCTAACAACCTGACAAAATAACAGGTTGTAAGATGTACAGCCACAGGAAGATTTTCATTCAGTACCAGTATTTGCATTTTGCATCTATTCCTTCCTATTTTTCTAATTTCTGGATTACAAGAAGTGCTAAGTTTTCAGTGTTTTACCAAAGTTGTTCTTGTTATGGTTTTTCCTCAAGCCATTGGCACTACCATCCACGTATTCAAAATATGAATGTATGTGCTAGGAAGGCATTCTTAAATTGAGTTCAGCACAAGTTTATTAATAGAAATGTTTTATTTCTCTAGTTCTTGGCAATGTTTTAAGTAGTGTTTTCCTCTATTTCCATTGTAAGGTGAACTTATTCACTGCATTAAAATTGCAGAGAAATGTGGTAATGTAACTAGAATGCCTAAAGTTAAATTAGGCTACACCACTGTATCTTTTTCTTCTATAAAAATCACTCTTCACGCATAACAAAGTACAAAGAGGAAAAAGGGTTAAATCTTCTCTTGCACTTGGGCTATTTTTTAACCTCTGCTCATATCCTGCTGAGATCCCATTTTGTCAATTTGGCCAGCAGTAGTATTCTTGCCTTGGGAACAATGGGCAAGAAACTAACAGCCATCTTCTACCAATTTATCTTTCAAATGTACAACACAACATCACTTGCTCTAAATAAATTGTAAGAAGATCATGACATTATGTTTAATTTTTAGCAATAAAACAATAAGAAGGGCACAAAGTTTGGTTTTTCTTACATAACACTAAGTTTACTGTTGGAATGGCAAATTAGAATTCCAGGCTAAATTATATACATTCTTGGCTATACAAATGAAAGAAGAATCAAGTTGCTCTGAGTCAACAGAGGCTGCCTACAGAGAGCAATGTTCTCTTCAAGGAAAACAGAAAAGAATTTGTCACTGCTGAGAAGAGTTACTTCTCTGGTAAAAAAAAAACAAACCTTCAGCCTGCTTTCTTTCAGGAAAGCCAGCAGGATGTTGTGTGCTTGAATGCAAACAATAAAGCTCTACACTAAGATAAGTTTTCTTCCATACACAACGTACAGTTCAAACACCAACTCTGAAATTGGGCAAGCACCCACAGTGCAGTTAGTAAACTGCAAACTGCATGTCTGCAGTTCAATAAACTGAGTCATGAGGTAAGGCTTGTTCCCATAAATGGCACAGCCTTAGATTTCCTAAGCAGCATGTAAGCAGTAACGGAAAAAGGACACAAGTTGAGAGTCTAGGGAAGGCTGGAAAAACATTGGATTTGGGAAGCGATGAACAGGAAGAAAGGAAGAAAAATAACACAGCCACACAAGCAAAGAGCGCAGTTAGTTTTCAATGCCAAAATTAAAGGCACTTCTACAAAAAAAGACATCCAGGTGCAACACATGGTGATGCACAGCCTTGCTGGAGTGAACACACAGGTGGTTCTGTCTTCCTTTAGATGAGTCGGTGTGAGAGTGTTTCCGCACTAAAACTCTGTGGTCACACACACTTAGCCCAGATTATTCATCTTCTTCCAAGAGCATATCCTTCTCCATGCTGCAAGAACGCATTCCACAGCACTGTCTCTCCACAGCAGCCTTTATTCTGGCATTTCATGACATTTGAGTGTTTGTATTTGAAACCTGACCGCTTGGAAAGGGGAAGAGGGCTATTTGGAATGAAACTGATATAAGGTTTGGTCACCTGGGGCTTCTTTCTGCAGCAAAATAGAACCATAAATATATTTAAGAACCCTAAGTCAGAATCCTCAAGCGACCAGGGCCAAGAGACAACTACACTGCTCTCTCATAAAGCCAAAGAGCTTTGGCCATTGTACCCACTAAACATGTCTGAGCATCAGATCTACTTCTTCTGTGTCATGAAATTAAAGGTGAATGATTTTATCGGCTTAAAATGTTCTACTTAGTTCTCTGTTTCATATTCATATGCTTATTTAGAAAAAAAGAAATTCTTTGCTTGACAGCACAGAGCTATGTGCAAAATCAAATAAAATTTCAAATGATCCCATGACCCAAATTAAGAGAGTTATGCTAATGTTCAAGGGGTCTAATATCAAACTGGAGAATACTTTTTCTATACTGATTCAGATACCAATAGTCCACCCTGGGGCCTGCACTGGCAGTCTACAAACCAATTTAACTTTGCCCACGTGACTTGGAAAGGCTTGAAAAGTAGGCTTTAAAACAAAATTTGTGCTGTAATCCTAATTGCAGAGTAATGCTCCTTCGGAATTTTGCTAGTGTTCCAGACACAAATCTTAAGACACTCGCCTTGAGTAGTTTGATGAATAATCTCAACTAGCCAAAGAGAAAAGTCTCTATAATAGCTATATGGAAAGCTAAAACACACTGATTATTTCACTAAGATTGAACTTGCTGCCAAGCTACAGGTTTTTCAAACACTAGCTGAAGTCTTGAAAACCATGCCAAGGAAGCCCTTGTAAGGCAGAAAAGTCAAACCCTTAGGCTAAAATATTGAAGCCTCCAGGCATTTTCCATATTTGCAGACAGATCTGACACCTGCACCAGGTGAGCTTTGTTCTTCTACTCAGCTGGAGCAGGACACACCTCTCCCACTCCCACCAGGGGCCCATTTTATCCATGAGGTTTTAGCCCTCTCAGAAAATGACTTCCCATCCAGACTGCTTGCTTGATATTAGCAAGGACTTTACAGGGTTATGCTGGTCTCAGGATAGCTTCATTTGAAAGAGGTTTTCAAAAAGATGTGAATGGGATTACATCAATCCATGAGACTGCCACTCCTGCCTTGATTATTTTATTCATTCCACCAAAAACTTTCGCTATTAAAAAAGCTTTTCAGCTCCTGTTGAGCACTGAGTGTTAGTGCCTTCCAATGAGATGGAAAAAAAAAATCAATTACTGAAAATGATTTCTTACCCCAACATCTGCTCTTGGTTCCTTGTGGTCAGGTAGGACACTGGTGCGGACCTGAGAGAAGGGAGGGGAAAAAAAGGCAAGAAATAATCAAACTCCTTCTGTAAATCTCTCTGCAAAAGACTCATTTTTTTTCCCATGCCCTCAAAAATGACCCTCAATTCTTCTATTCTAGCTGCAACTTAGTGCACAAAAAGAAACACTCCATTAATGTAAAGATAATTTAATTGTCTGTTTGTTATTCTAAATACATGTTGTTATAAAGCACCAATATAAAGGCTACCACAAAGACTTGACAAAGCAGAGCAACAGCTTTTCTCAGCCAGCTTCTTATCCCTTGATTTCCTACAGTGAGAACTTTGCTTTTTCCACAAAAGCCTGGAGATAGTAAAAAAAATGCTATAATTAATTTATTAAGGGACAGCATACTTTAGAAATCTGTGGGAGTCCTCATATGGATGCAATTTTACATTTCGATTTTCCACACTAATGCATTAGCAACTCCAAAGCATTTGGAAATCTACAGAAAGCTAGTATAAAATGTTCAATCATGATATTTTTATCTAAAATTAACCTTTAAATGCTTCACGCCCTGAATGAAAATGAAATTACTGGCATTTTCTTGTTGGTGATACCCATCTTTCCCTTTTGAAGCTGAGGAAATAACTTAGAGCAATCTGTTTCTTAAAAGAAAGATGGAGTATCAACACCAAACCAAAAATGCTGTGTCATTTTAAGATGCTAAAAAGCTGCTCTATGTGCCAGCCTCAAAGAAGTGACATCTGGCCCAACAACTGAGGTATTTATATTTTCTAATTATTATTATGGCTATTTATTCAAGAGAAATAAACTAATAATGTAAGAATTAACACTCCTTTTCATAATTTACTTATGTATTTGTAACCCAACAGCAGTTCATATTTTTAACAGTGTATGCGTTTTTATATGATACTACGTTGTATTTCACAGCAAGAGAAAGCTAATGTTTCTTTTACACATACTGAAATCAAGGAAATTCAACATTAATTTAGAATCAAAGAATATTAATTCCTTCTTTTGCTGGATAAAATATCAATTCAGGAGAACATATTTCAGCTTTTTTGACCCAACACAGGAGCAGAAAGGGATGTCAACACCTGACTAACCTAGAGTCTTCCATATAATAAAAGCATATTCCTGAATTTCAAATGGACTTAAAATACAGAAAAAAAACTTCTGCTGCATTTTGCAATACTTTTTGGTTCAGCTATGTTTATTTGTTTTCATTGGGTTTTAACCCCTTTAAATTAGACTGTACATTAGACCGTACCTCTCTTCTTCCCAAAGTATATTTTGTTTGAAATTAAATCTAGTGCCTTGATCCAAGTGTGTGCAAATATCTGCAATTTCAGAAGCAGTTTTACTATTTGACATTTATCAAAAGAGAAGCCACATATGTGTATGTAAATACATACATGGGTGGTACAGGCTGAACACTATCAGGCTGTCTGTTGGTTGAGTTCCCAAACAAACTCTCTGAATGCTGCAATTACTGGGGTATCATTATGGGGTGTTCACACAGGCCTCATTATAAACATCAGGTCAGCTCATAAAAACTTATAAAACATAAGAAACGAGTCAGTTTTAGTCCCAGTCCACAAAATGGAAGAGAAAAAATGGGAGATAAATACAGAGGATTTGATGGGTCAAATATCCTCCCAGTGCATTTCTTGATTAAACAAACTGCCACACTTTTTAAAACCGCATCATAAATCAACTTTTCCCCTCTGGCCCCATCCAGAACAACTATAAAATCTAAAAGCAAACAGAAAGTCAGATTTTATTCCCAAACCTCCACTACTCTGTTAGAATTTCAGTTTTCCCATTACTCTCTCTAGGTTTTCCTGTGCAAAATGCAAACCTCTGAGTGGGGAGGTCATTCACAACCGGGGTAAGCCCATGCCTGCAGGGAATAGCACCACTACTGCTTTACCTTTGTGACACAAAGAGATCACAAAGGCACACAAGAAACACAGCTTGTGACCTGGACTAAATGCAGCAAAGGTTTTGGCATCTATCCATTCCTGTAATTTTGTGTGTAGAACAACACAGTTACCTTTTTACACCACAGTGGAGGCCTGTGAACCCACTGGGAAAAGGGCAGCGTGATGAAGGTTCGTGCAAGTGAAAGATGCACAAGAGTAGAGTTAGTTTTCAATGCCAAACACATCAGAGTCCAGGAGTTACGACTCCCTGGAATTTCCCAGTCAAACAAATTGCAGCTTCGTGTGTTTGTGCTGGGTGAGCCTAAAATGCCAAAACTGTTATGGGGTTCTGCCACAAAACCAATCAGTTTTTCCTACAGTCCATATAAAACAAAAGAGAAAATCTTTTCAAAATGGACATGCAAGTGGTATTGCGGGATTCTACAGTTCCAATGGAAAACCTGATAGGCAGCGAAACTAATAAATGTTAAAACTTCATTAAAGATGAAAACTAATAAAGGGAATATAAGCTTTATCAAATTACTGCAACATTGCATAATAACTGCATGATTTTTATTATATATTAATTAGTTTAAACTTACAAAATATTTTTTTATATATATATATATGTGCCTGTGTGTGTATATATATATATATATTTCCTACTACAGATAGTAGGGAAAATATGTATGCCGCTATCACTTGCTGTATAGCAACTGACATGGCACAAGAGAAGAATCACGAGATCCCCCAAGCAAAGACTGAGTTTAACATCAATCTACATAATTTTAATATGTTTTTAGTGTATGCAACGAAAAAAATGGAAGGAAGGAAGAGTTTATTTACCTTCTTAACACAGCACACAGCGTGAGACTGGATTCAATTTTTTTAACCAATTTGAAACAGCATTTTTTCTGCAGAGAAAGCTTTGTCACGTAAGGTTATGCCACAGATAAAAAGTGACAAAGAAAAACGTGTATAACTGTGACAGGGACACTCAGGCATCCCAGTGCCCCACAGTGATGAGTGCTGACTGGCACAGACCCACTGGGGTTTTTTTAAGCAGTTGAATTTTTGCAATCCATGACCACTGGTAGCAAGCTAATGAGCCACAGGCTTTTTCTGCCATTTTTCAGGCTTTTTTGAACAAAGCCCAATGATGCAAAGTAGCCTTCTAAAGTCTTAATAGGTACTGAATATTCTAAGCATTTGGTCAGTTATAATTTTAATGAAATAGAGCAGAAAATCACATTTAAGTCTGTAGCTGTTACAATCAGCCAGTTAGCCTTGCCTCCTACCCATAATAATTCCCAGGAATGAACCTGTTGAAGTCTGTTTTATGCTGGGAACAATCTGCAAAATTTGAAGAGTAAAAATACCCTTCAAAGTGCTTGCGGTGCCTCCTCTTTCCAGCCTTCTTCCACTGTGAAATAAAATTCACAAAAGGCAAATTCTGGCTTCTGTCAGCAAGCTACAGCTGGAGCATTCCTAAGCTCTTCTGGCTCTTCATTTCCATGGAGCAGGCAATGGGGACCTGTGTTCCCAGATCCAAACACCTCAGCCTAGTCACTGCAATGGCACTATTCAAAAATCCCCGAGACAGACTCCACAGTCCAAACAAGGCAGCAGCTAATGGCAGCCAAAGAAATCCAGATGTTCTGACAAATTATATCCCAAAAAATACTCACTCTAGTGCGATGAAGGAAATAGGAAACTTGAGAGGATGCAAGCCCAAGCTGGTAAAAAGCTCCTACAGTTGTCTGATGAACACCCAGGTCAGCTCCACCTCGCTTCAGTGTATGGCAGACAACATGAATTAAAGCAAGTATTACTGGAGTGATCAGATGAGCTCAATGGCATAACAAAATTTCCAGAACATGATCTTCTGCCTCAAAATTTCAGCAAAATTTAAAATTTGACTGTGAATATCTGACAAAATAAACTGAAATCCTATATTTTGATTTACTGAATAAAAACCTTTTTTGAATATGCTAAAGTCTACGTTTCATAATTTACATCTATTACCATAGAAGCTGCAGTAAGAAATCTTAGTATAAATTAAACATGATGCCATTTCCACTGACGAACCAGTTACAAGAAACAAGATTGATTTTATTCATTTTGTAGAGGTATATCCAAGTGTTCCAGTTCCTTACCAGATTGCAACATCTACTCAAGTGACAAAAGAATATTCACATATTAAACACAGAAAAAAAGTCTTGCTGCCTTAAACAAGTCCAGACCCTTCAAGACTCTACACAAAATATCCCTGTCTTCTGACTCATGGCAGAAGCTGAAATGAAGAACTCAGAATTTAACTTGCTGGAACAGTCCATGAACCTCCAAAGTTCCCTTGAGGAGCTGGTATTATCCCTGAGCCAAGAAGACCTAAGTGCATTTCCAGCTGGGGGCCTTGAGTTCAATATTTTGAAAGAGTTATTTTTATGTGAGGTACCAAACTAACCAAATATAGAAGCAAACAATGGTTTTAAGATCACCCCCAAAAAACAGTGAAGATTTTATCCCCCACTCCATGTTTTATGGTAACTTTTTAACATAAATTTTTAGATTCTAAAGTGAACACTTTCTAACTACTCATTGAAATTATTTTAATTTCCTATTTCCTCTGCCTCTCTTCTGACTGGAAGGTCATTCAAAACACAGGATTGCAATGATAGCTCAGAGTCCTTTCCTAATCTACAGCCCATCATTATTCATGGCAAGTTTATACTCCTTTGCTCTTCTGCCAACATGGCGTCTTAGATAAGTAATTCTTTTCTGTTCCTCATACTGGTCTCCTGATGAATCAATGAGAAAGGAATCATATGCCCTCTTGTACTTCATTTTGTTAGGATAATAAGCCAATCTTTTCCAGTACACTGTCATACCATAAGCTCTGCATTCCCCAAATCACATCATCTGCTCCAGTCCTATGTCACACTTTGAACAACTAATTTACCTGTGTTTTCCTCCACACCATTTGTTTCTGACGTATTAAGTCTTTGTTGACCCAAAAAACTTCATGTTATTAGAAAAGCACAGAGGCATGTACTGAGAGTCTACTTTACTTCATCCTGTTTGCATTGTTCC